CTAATGGACTCTGGTCACATAGGGCTCTGATCCTAATGGGCTCTGATCCTAATGGGCTCTGGTCCTAATGGGCTCTGATCCTAATGGGCTCTGGTCCTAATGGGCTCTGATCCTAATGGGTTCTGGTCCTAATGGGTTCTGGTCCTAATGGGCTCTGATTCTAATGGGCTCTGGTCCTAATGGGCTCTGATCCTAATGGGCTCTGATTCTAATGGGTTCTGATCCTAATGGGCTCTGGTCACAGAGGGCTCTGATCCTAATGGGCTCTGATCCTAATGGACTCTGATCCTAATGGACTCTGGTCACATAGGGCTCTGATCCTAATGGGCTCTGGTCCTAATGGGCTTTGATCCTAATGGACTCTGGTCCTAATGGGCTCTGATCCTAATGGTCTCTGGTCCTAATGGGCTCTGATCCTAATGGGCTCTGGTCACAGAGGGCTCTGATGCTAATGGAATCTGATCCTAATGGGTTCTGGTCCTAATGGGCTCTGATCCCAATGGGCTCTGGTCACATAGGGCTCTGATCCTAATGGGCTCTGATCCTAATGGGTTCTGGTCCTAATGGGCTCTGATCCTAATGGGTTCTGATCCTAATGGGTTCTGATCCTAATGGGCTCTGATCCTAATGGGCTCTGGTCCTAATGGGCTCTGATCCTAATGGGCTCTGATCCTAATGGGCTCTGGTCACAGAGGGCTCTGATCCTAATGGGCTCTGATCCTAATGGGCTCTGATCCTGATGGGTTCTGATCCTAATGGGCTCTGATCCTAATGGGATCTGATCCTAATGGGGTCTGATCCTAATGGGCTCTGATCCTAATGGGTTCTCGTCACATCGGGCTCTGATCCTAATGGGCTCTGATCCTAATGGGTTCTGATCCTAATGGACTCTGGTCACATAGGGCTCTGGTCCTAATGGGCTCTGATCCTAATGGGTTCTGGTCCTAATGGGCTCTGATTCTAATGGGCTCTGGTCCTAATGGGCTCTGATCCTAATGGGCTCTGGCCCTAATGGGCTCTGATTCTAATGGGCTCTGATCCTAATGGGCTCTGATCCTAATGGGTTCTGGTCCTAATGGGCTCTGATTCTAATGGGCTCTGGTCCTAATGGGCTCTGATCCTAACGGGCTCTGGTCCTAATGGGCTCTGATTCTAATGGGCTCTGATCCTAATGGGTTCTGATCCTAATGGGCTCTGGTCCTAATGGACTCTGGTCCTAATGGGCTCTGGTCCTAATGGGTTCTGGTCACAGAGGGCTCTGATCCTAATGGGCTCTGATCCTAATGGGTTCTGGTCACAGAGGGTTCTGGTCCGAATGGGTTCTGGTCACAGAGGGCTCTGGTCCTAATGGGTTCTGGTCACAGAGGGCTCTGGTCCTAATGGGTTCTGGTCACAGAGGGCTCTGGTCGACAGGTAGTGCACTAAATAGGGAATAGGGTGACATTTGTGACACACAGCTGAGTTTTACTGTATCTCTCAGCAGAAAACAGACAATGGAAATCAATGGGCTGGCCTGAAGGCCCTCGCTCTCACACAGTCACTGGGCTCACTCTTAAATATGTATACACACACAAGGGTTGGGGAGACCTCTTCTACAATATGCTTCTCCAAATATCGCGATATCTGATATAACCGTTCTGCTCCGATAATGACTAGATAACTCCAGACTGTTGCTGTTGTTGTGTGTGAGAATGTGTGTGAGTGTGTGTGAGTGTGTGAGTGTGTGTGAGTGTGTGTGAGTGTGTGTGAGTGTGTGTGAGTGTGTGTATGAGAGAGTGTCAATTCAATTCAATTCCATTATTTAATTTAAGGGCTTTATTGGCATGGGAAACGTATGTTAACATTGCCAAAGCAAGTGAAGTAGATAGTAAACAAAAGTGAAATAAACAATAAATATTAACAGTAAACATTAAACTCAGAAGTTCCAAAAGAATAAAGACATTTCAAGTGTCATAGTATGTCTATATACAGTGTTGTAACAATGTGTAAATAGTTAAAGTACAAATGGAAAAATAAATAAACATAAATATGGGTTGTATTTACAATGGTGTTTGTTCTTCACTGTTTGCCCTTTTCTTGTGGCAACCGGTCACAAATCTTGCTGCTGTGATGGCACACTGTGGTCTCTCTCTCTCTCTCTCTCGCTCATTTAAATTATGCATGATAAGTAACACGTTTTGTGTGAATGAAAAACCCCTTGTTCTTTTGTTTGGTTTTCATAATGTTTCAATGCAACATCACCGGAGCCACATGGACACAGTATTGCACAGAGCAGGTCTTTGCCTCAGATCTACAACAGTCTCTGAAGACATGTTGAAGCTCTGGTAGCTCATGTCGGCTATCAGGATCTCCACACCAATAGAACTAGAATTACTACTGATCTAATATTCACAGCATCTCAGTCCCTGGCCCTGACTCCAGCCTGACTAGAATCAACCTTCCCTGGGTAAAATAGGGGGATGTCTGTGGGAGGTTTATAAAGACCGAGCTGGGGAGAGGGGTCCTTTAGGGGTCCTATCCACCTGGAGAGATGAGACAGGCAGTAGAGTGGACACCTCAGGGGAATGATGAGGGCTACTGAGAACCAATACACATGTTTAACATCAGGTTTACTGTTATAATCCCTGTATCCCTCACTCTCCTTTAACATCAGGTTTACTGTTATAATCCCTGTATCCCTCACTCTCCTTTAACATCAGGTTTACTGTTATAATCCCTGTATCCATCACTCTCCTTTAACATCAGGTTTACTGTTATAATCCCTGTATCCCTCACTCTCCTTTAACATCAGGTTTACTGTTATAATCCCTGTATCCCTCACTCTCCTTTAACATCAGGTTTACTGTTATAATCCCTGTATCCCTCACTCTCCTTTAACATCAGGTTTACTGTTATAATCGCTGTATCCCTCACTCTCCTTTAACATCAGGTTTTACTGTTATAATCCCTGTATCCCTCACTCACCTTTAACATCAGGTTTACTGTTATAATCCCTGTATCCCTCACTCTCCTTTAACATCAGGTTTACTGTTATAATCGCTGTATCCCTCACTCTCCTTTAACATCAGGTTTACTGTTATAATCCCTGTATCCCTCACTCACCTTTAACATCAGGTTTACTGTTATAATCCCTGTATCCCTCACTCTCCTTTAACATCAGGTTTACTGTTATAATCCCTGTATCCCTCACTCTCCTTTAACATCAGGTTTACTGTTATAATCCCTGTATCCCTCACTCTCCTTTAACATCAGGTTTACTGTTATAATCCCTGTATCCCTCACTCACCTTTAACATCAGGTTTACTGTTATAATCCCTGTATCCCTCACTCTCCTTTAACATCAGGTTTACTGTTATAATCCCTGTATCCCTCACTCTCCTTTAACATCAGGTTTACTGTTATAATCCCCGTATCCCTCACTCTCCTTTAACATCAGGTTTACTGTTATAATCCTTGTATCCCTCACTCTCCTTTAACATCAGGTTTACTGTTATAATCCCTGTATCCCTCACTCTCCTTTAACATCAGGTTTACTGTTATAATCCCTGAGCACTGCTCTCAGACTATAATGATGGTGATGAGCACTGCTCTCAGACTATAATGATGGTGATGAGCACTGCTCTGACTATAATGACGGTGATGAGCACTGCTCTCAGACTATAATGGCGGTGATGAGCACTGCTCTGACTATAATGACGGTGATGAGCACTGCTCTCAGACTATAATGACGGTGATGAGCACTGCTCTGACTATAATGATGGTGATGAGCACTGCTCTCAGACTATAATGATGGTGATGAGCACTGCTCTGACTATAATGATGGTGATGAGCACTGCTCTCAGACTATAATGATGGTGATGAGCACTGCTCTGACTAAAATGATGGTGATGAGCACTGCTCTGACTATAATGATGGTGATGAGCACTGCTCTCAGACTATAATGACGGTGATGAGCACTGCTCTCAGACTATAATGACGGTGATGAGCACTGCTCTGACTATAATGATGGTGATGAGCACTGCTCTCAGACTATAATGATGGTGATGAGCACTGCTCTGACTATAATGATGGTGATGAGCACTGCTCTCAGACTATAATGATGGTGATGAGCACTGCTCTCAGACTATAATGATGGTGATGAGCACTGCTCTCAGACTATAATGATGGTGATGAGCACTGATCTCAGACTATAATGATGGTGATGAGCACTGCTCTGACTATAATGACGGTGATGAGCACTGCTCTGACTATAATGATGGTGATGAGCACTGCTCTGACTATAATGATGGTGATGAGCACTGCTCTGACTATAATGATGGTGATGAGCACTGCTCTGACTATAATGATGGTGATGAGCACTGCTCTCAGACTATAATGGCGGTGATGAGCACTGCTCTGACTATAATGACGGTGATGAGCACTGCTCTCAGACTATAATGACGGTGATGAGCACTGCTCTGACTATAATGATGGTGATGAGCACTGCTCTCAGACTATAATGATGGTGATGAGCACTGCTCTGACTATAATGATGGTGATGAGCACTACTCTCAGACTATAATGATGGTGATGAGCACTGCTCTGACTATAATGATGGTGATGAGCACTGCTCTCAGACTATAATGATGGTGATGAGCACTGCTCTCAGACTATAATGATGGTGATGAGCACTGCTCTGACTATAATGACGGTGATGAGCACTGCTCTGACTATAATGATGGTGATGAGCACTGCTCTGACTATAATGATGGTGATGAGCACTGCTCTGACTATAATGATGGTGATGAGCACTGCTCTGACTATAATGATGGTGATGAGCACTGCTCTGACTATAAGATTATCTGCCATCGCCCAGACAAACAGCAAACAAACCATCCATTTACTGTAACGTAACACCATTGAGGGATATGTGTGTGTGTGTGTGTGTGTGTGTACAGACAATCGAGTGCCTCAGCCACACCACTGGCACAACACTGCATCCAAAAATCACACCCTATTCCCTACATAGTGCACAACTTTTTACCAGGGCTTAAAGAGCTAGTAGTGCACTATATAGGGAATAGGGTACCATTTGGGACACAGCCTGGGATTTTGGACCAACCATATGATAAGCTACTTGCCCTAACCTTTTCCTAACCCCTGACTTAACCCTTATTTAATTCCTTACCTTGATGCTCACTTGCCCTGAAGTTTGAGCAACTTCTAGGTTGATATCTATCAGTGTAGATTGAGTGCAGGATGCCGTTTCCTCAGCCACACCAAGTACACAGACAGACCCAGGTAAAAGGTCACCCGCCACAGAGGCTAACAACCTCCCACTGAGTTCCTACCTATCTAAACTAGCGTTGACGCTAATGGTACACAGAGGCTAATCATGCTAACAGCTAAGAGCCTCATGCCGAGCTACAGACCCAATGGGGGTTCACACCTGTCATCTAGCATTGACGCTAACGGTATTGGTATCCCATCAACATCAGTGATGTAGTTGTTATGTAAGAGCTAAGAGGATGTGTCACGCTGCTAGCTATAGGGGCGTGGCGTGGAGCACGGTGTGAAGCATAACATTCTGTCAGAGAATCCTCTGTTGGCTCTGCATGCACACACAGACACACACACAATAAATCGCTTGGCAGGCACGACAACACATACATACACACACACCATAAAACTGTTACGGTCCGGCACTGTTGGTCCTGTTTCCGCTTGTTTCCCTTTTCCTTTTTTCCCTGTGTGTGTGTTGTCTGTGTCTGTCTCCCCCTGCTGTGCAGCCCAGTCAGAGGATCTAGGTCAGGGGGCGTGGCCATTCTCTATCATGCTCCGTTACCTCCAGCTGCGGCTCATTGTCATCAATCAAACAGCAGTTATCTACCCGGGCTGGACACCTCTCCAGCGCCAGTTCGTTCCTACACCACCTGTGGTAACTTGGCCCTGTACAGCAAATCTCAGTTTAGTTGTACTCTCTCAGTATTATAGTTGTTTCTGCCACGTTTGTAACCTGTCTCTCCTTCGACCAGATCCCGTCGTTCCTGCTGCCTGCCTGCCTGCCATTCCCACGCCGCAACCTGCTCCTCTGTGTCTGATATCCTCGTCATCCAGCTCTCAGGACTACTGGCTCTCCACCCCACTCAGCTCCTACTCCGGCCTGAAGCTACTCCCACCTTGAAACTGCTTCTCTCTGCCAAAAACACGCTGAATAAACTACATCCTAATTTCACCCTCTTGTTGCGTGTGTCCGTCTCTGCACTGAGTCCCCCACCCAAACCTAACAGAACGAACTGGCCAACATGGACTCAGCAGAGATGCCACATGAACAACGGGTGATGGCGTACAACGCGCCCTCCATTCACAGGGAATGTTATTGGGACACACGACCAACGCATCCGGACTCTATTGGATAACAACCAGCAGTTGTTGGATCACGTATCTCATCTCACCTCTCAGGTAGTTAACTGGTAACACTCACTACCCTTCCTCCCTCTGTTTTCTCCTCCACCTGTTCCCCTACAGTGGCTCCAGGCTCGGCTTACGCTCCTGCCCTTCGGGAACCCCTCTACAACCTCATCACCCGAACCTTTCCACACGGGGACCTGAACAAGTGCCGTGGTTTCCTGCTTCAGTGCCGCTTGGTGTTCCAACAGAAGCCCCTGTCCTTCTCCAACGGAATCCTCAAAGGTACATTACGCTCTGGGGTTACTGAGGGGCAAAGCTTTGATTTGGGCAGAAGCGGGCTTGTTCTACTCAGCAGATTGCCAGCCTGTCGTTTGACGATTTTTCCTCTCAATTGGAAATTGTGTTTGATCACCCGGACTATGCCGGGACCCGCCACAAAGAGACTGTTGTGAAGCTACGACAGGGCACGGGTAGCGTGGCTGAATACGCCATTGATTTTTGGACCTTGGCAGCCGATTCCAAGTGGAATGACGAAGCTCTTCAGGGAGCGTTTGTTAACGGTTTGAGTGACACGACAAGGATGAACTAGCTGTTCGTGATGAGCCTGCTAACCTTCATTCTCTCGTTTCCCTTGCTACACGAATAGACAACAGGCTACGGGAGAGGAGACAGGAGAGGGGGCGGTCGGTCCGCACCACAGGCGGGGCCCCCTCGCTTCTGCAACCCGAGCAACCCCCCCAAATGGGGGACCCCCGGGCCCACACCCCTCAGGGGATCCCTCCCCGGAACTAGAAAAACCCAGCAGCGGGGCCTTTGCTCTTTTTCCCCTCCCAAAAAAGGAACGGGCGTGCGGGCTGGTGAGTGTTTTACTGTGGGGCCCCGCCCCTTTTTCCCGGGTTTTAACTGTCCGGTTCCCCCAAAAAAAACCCAACTCGCAATTAAAGGGGGGGGGACTTTTGCGATTTTCTACCCCTTTACCCCAATGCCCCCAGCACCCCCGTCCCTTGGGGTTTTTCCCCCCCCAACCCCCCCCTTCCCATTCAAATCCTTTTTTCCCCCCCCATTCCCCCCCCTGCCCTCATTGCTCTGGTGTTGAGATATTTTTCCTGACTTTAAACCCGGGTTCCCCTCGGGGCTGAGACCCCCTTTTAACCCCCTGCCAAAGCCTATTACAGTAAACCGCTTAGGGGGGTCGGGTTGGGCCAACATAAACCCCCCCAACTGTCCCCTTTTTCTTCATTTGTCCGGCAATCCCCAAAAAAAAACCATCCTTTAAAGTATTTCCCTCCCCCGGCCCCCCCCCCCTTTCCCCGGTTTTTCCCTTGGCTTAGCCTTAACAATCCCCTATTGACTGGCAAACCAAAAGGGATACAATTTTGGGGGAACCCCACTCCCCTTTCGCTTGCCTTGGGTCGGAAATTCCCCCTGGGGTGGGTTTCCCCCCTCTTCCCCTGTAAAAACCCCCCGACCTTTTTCCCAGTCCCTAAAGGAGAAATTGGCCCTGGCCGAGGATCAGTAAGCCCAAAGGGCCCATTTTCACAAACCACCTCATGGGCCATACATTGCGCAATTGAGTTACTCCCCTGGACCCCTTTTGGGCCGTCCATGGGTTTTTTCAATCTGCCCCGCCCTGAGGGGAAAAGTTTGGGAAAACCCTAATAGGGGACTCCCTAGCCTCTGGCATATTGGCCCCTTCACCCTTCCGCTGTTGGTGCGGGTTTTTTTTTTTGAGAAGAAGGAAAAACATTACGCCCCTGCATTGACTACAAGGACTAAAAAACATCACAGTAAAGAAAACTTTACCCCTCCCTTTCCTTCATACTCAGCATTTAACCCCCTTTAAATGGTGCCCCCGGTTTTTCCCAAAACCCTCGAAGTTAACCTTTAATTCGGGGGGAAAATAAAAAAGGGAAAACCCGGAATTTTAAAACCCTGGTTAATTTCCCCTCTCCACTTAAAACCAGCAGGGTTTCGGCCATTTAACGAGGGGGGGGTTTTCACCTTTTGGGTTTCTTTTTGGTGTTTAAATTTATTTCAAACAAAAAACCCCCGTTTTGGTTTGTCTAAATTTTGGGGGTAAACAGAAAAAGGGGTTTCCCAAACCGGAGCCTCCCCGGGGGGGGGGGGGCCGGGGGGGGGGGGGGGGGGGCCCGGGGGGAGGGGGGCCCCCGGGCCGGGTTCTCCAACCCCCTTAATGGAAAAAAACCCTGTTTGGGAAAAATCCCCCCCCCTTTCCTCCCCTTTTTCTTTTTGGGCCCCCAATTTCCCCCCAAAACCAACAAGCTTTTCCCCCCCCACCCGAACACCCCCTTTGGGGGTTTCGCCCCTCCCCCCTTTTCCCCTTTCCCCCCCAAATTTGGTTTGCCCCCCTTTGCCCCAAGCTCACCCCCCCAAAGGGGGCCTTCCTGGGGACCCCGGGGCCCCGAGTCAGCCGTAGAAACTTGAAGGAACTGTTCACCCCTCCCCTGTTTTATTCATCCAACCAGTTTCCCAGTTTTTTGTGGAAGTGGAGGGCCTCTGATTCGGGTGGGGGGGGGTTTCCTGTCCAAACGTTCCCCCAAGGGGACCAGAAACTCCATCCGTGGCCTTTTCCGGGAGATTGCCCCTGTTTGAGAAGAATACGAGGGGGGTTAAACCGGGGGGTTGCTCCCTGTCAATTTGGCGTTGGAGGAGTGGGGGCCCCGGGCTGAAGGGCAGAGAAAACCCCTTCAATTTTGGACGGGACCACAAAAAAAACCTTTGGTTTCCCAACCAGTCCTCCAAGAGGCTACAAACCCCCCGGGTCAGGCCAGGGGCTCTGTTTTTTCAGCGGTTCAAGTTTTTTTAAAAAAACAACCCGTCCGGGGCCCCAGTAAGGTCAACCCTGATGCTCTCTCTCCCCATTTTACAGAAATAAAACCCCAAACCCAACCCTTTAAACCTTTCTGCCCCTTCCTTTTTGGGTGGGGCTTTTTTCCTGGGAAATGGCCCCTGGCCGATGGGAAAAAGTGGGGAAACCGGGAAACCGGCCGGGGCCCCCCCCCACCTTCTCTTTTTTTTCCCCGCACCCGTGGGGGCCCCAAGGGGCCCCAACGGATCCACCCCCCTCGCCCCCTTTTTTCCGGGCCAACCCTGGTTTAAAACCGAAACACTGCGCTACTGAAGGGGCATTTTTGGGGTGGCCACCCGTCGAGATTTAAACCCCCGGGAGAAAGTGGGGGCCCCTTTCCATCTTTTCCCCCAAAATAAGACTTCCCCCCGGGCCCCTTTCCGGGCCCCTGCGGCCTCCCCCCAGCCCCGGGTTCGCCCCTTGGGTCTCATGGCTTTGGACTTGTCAGGGAACTTCCTTGTCGGGAGGGAAATTACACCAAAACTCACCCGGGGGACAGTTTCCCTTCAAATTTTTCCCCATTTTTTTGGCATTCCCAAAAATTCCCATCGCCAGTGAGACCCCGACCTTTTTTGCCCCTCCATTTTTTCCCCCCCAGGGAAATTTTACCTGTGGCTTTAGTGTCCGTTTAGGGGTTTCCCACATTTTTTCCGGGTAGGGGAAGGGAAATTTTTGTTTTTGCTCGGGGTGCCTCTGTCAGTTTTTCTTTTCGGGGTTTCCACCCCCAGCCAATGGCCAGACGGGAGAGGCCCAAAATCAGGCCCCTGGGGCTCCCTCTACGCGTGTGCCCCCCAAAAAACCCGTCCCCTGGGCCAAACCCCCCCCGTGGGTCGAATTCCCCCAAAATTCCCTCCCTCTCTCCCCCGGCCCTTTACCCTTTTTGAGGCGGTTTTGGGGGGGTACCAACCCCTTGGGTTCCCCGTCTCGGGAAAAAGGGATTTAAAAACCGTCCCGTCAGTTCGGGAAAACCTTCGTCGCTGCCGTAAGGTGTGGGTGGCCCCCCGTAAAGGGCCCTTCTACGGACCCAGAGCGTAAAAAGGGGGGGCGGACAGGCCCGGGTGGGCGCCCCCCATTTCCACCGGGTTTCAGCGAGCCCTGGCTTCCCCCCACCCAACATCCCCCTCCGCACTGACCCCCGGTAAGCTGTGGGCCCCGGTATTTGGGTCCTTTGAGATCAAACCCATCATCAACCCTTGGGGCTGTTCGGTTGAACCCCCCCGGGCCATGAGAAGCCCCTCCTACATTTCAGGCCCCAGGAAGCTGGTCCCTCCACCCCTTTTTGTGTCCCCCTGTGGATCCCCCTCCGCCACCCCCCTTTTTTTGGCGACCATTTTTTTTTATTTTTAATTTTTTTCATTTGCAGACGCTCTTATCCAGAGGCGACTTTCAGACAATTTTGGTTGTGGCCCTTTCTCAAAAAACACCCCCCCACAAATTTTTACCCAGTCGGTCGGGATTTAAACCCCGCGACCCTTTTTGGGTTTCTGGCCCCAACGCTCTTTCCCCCCAAAAACTAAACCCGCCCCCCTAACCGTCGGGAGGGGCTGCTGGACGTCCGGGGCGTTTGGGGAGGGCTTCAGTACCTGGTGGGCGGGGGGGATAAAGGTCCCGAGGAAAAGGGGCCCCGGTTCCCCCCAGATTTTTACTGGATCCACGTAATGGCTGATTCCATAGGGGCCCCCCCTGAAAAAGGGCCGGGGGGGGCGCCCGGGGGGCCCCCCGTTTAAAGGGGGGGGGGCCGGTTTTCGGTCCGGGCAAATGTTGGTCCCGTTTCCCCCTTGTTTTTTCCCTTTTTTCCTTTTTTTTCCCCGTGTGTGTGTTTGCCCGTTTTTCCTGTCCCCCCCTGCTGTGCAGCCCAGGTTTAGAGGTCTGGTCAAAGGGGGCCCTGGCCATTTTCTATCATGCCCGTTACCCCTTTCCCGCGGGGTAAATTTTAAACAAAACAAACGCAGGTTTTTACCCGGGCGGACACCTCCCAGCGCCAGTTTTTTCCACCCACCCGGGGTAACTTGGGCCCGTACAGCAAATTTTTATTTGGGGTTTTAATCTCTCAGTCATTGTTTTTCCGCCCGTTTGGGGAACCTGTCCCCTCCTTGCCAAAACCCGGGCTGTTCCCCGCTTCCTGCCCCGCCTGCCATTCCACGCCCCAACCTCTCCCTGTTGTCTGAAATTTTCGTCCTCCAGCTCTCAGGACTTTCGGCTTTTCCCCCCCCCTCAGCTTCCACCCTCCGCCTGAAGCTACTCCCCCTTTAAAAATGCTTCCTCGCCAAAAACCCCTGGGAAAAAAATAATTCCAATTCACCCTTTTTTTTTTTTTCCCCTTTTGTCCGTTCTCCCCCGAGTCCCCCCCCAAACCAACCCAAAAAACCCACGGCCAAAACACAAACACAAACCCACACAAAAAGACACACAAACCAACCCCCCCCCATAACCGCCCCACACACACACCGCAAGCCAAAAACATACCAAAGCAGCGTTTTAGCATTAGCTCCCACCAAGGGACCACAACACGGGACTAGCGTTAGCTCCCACCCGAGGCCCCCCACAAACACGTAGTAGGGTTTGTTCCAACCCAGAGGGCACCCCAACACGTAGCTAGCGTTGTACACCCGAGGGCCCCCACAAAAAATTTCTAGGGGTTTTAGCTCTGTCCAGAGGGGACCCCCAACACGTTTGCTTGGGTTTTGCTCCCCACCAGGCCCCCCAAAAAAACATAGCTAGCGGTTTTTCTCGACCAGGGCACCACCAAAACATAGCTAGGGTTTTGCTCCCACCAGAGGGCCCCCACAACATGCAAACGTTTTTCCCCCAACCAGAGGGCCCACAAAAACATAAAAGGGGTTGCTCCGGGCCGGGCCCCCAAAAACACCCTACTCGTTCTCCCGACCCGGGGGGCCCCCCACAACCGTAGGGTTTGCCCTTAGCTTTTCCCACCCGAGGGCATCACAAAAAACGTGCAGCGTTTGGGTCCGACCAGAGGGCCCCTCAAACCGTAGCTAGTGTTAGCTCCGGGGCCAAGGGCACCACAAAATGTATTTTTCATTACTCTTCCAGAGGGGGACCACAAAAACGTACACGTTAGGGTCCGACTAGAGGGCCCCCAAACACGTAGCCCAGCTTAGCTCCGACCAGCGGCCCCCAAAAACGTAGCTAACGTTTAACCCCCGACCAGGGGGATCACAACCCCGTAACTAAACGGTTTGCTTTCCCTCCAGGGCCCACAAAATGTAAAATAGCATCAGCTTTTCCCACCAGGGCACCAACCCCACATTCCTGAAATAAAAAAGTTGGGTCCGCCGAAGGGGAAACCCCAACACCTAGTAGCGTTGCTCCGAAAGAGGGGGCCCCCCACACGTGCTACGTTGCTCCCCAAAAGGGGCCCCCAAAAACCGTGCTAGCGTTAGTCCGTCCCGGGCAACCCCCAACAAAGTAGCCAGCTCAGCTCCGACCAAAGGGGACCACCCCAAAACCCCCCTTTAGGAAACAAACTCCGAAAAGTGCAAACCCCAAAAGTGCTAAACTCAGCTCCGACCAGGGCCACCACAACACGTAGCTAGCGTTAGCGCCGACCAGGGCACCACAACATGTCTCCTGAAATAAAACTCAGTTAGCTCCAACCAGGGCACCACAACACGTCTCCTGAAATAAAACTCAACCAGGACCACTGACAGAGACAAGACTGCCCTGTTATATAAGTGTGTGTGTGCATGTATCTGTGTGTGTGTGTGTGTGTGTGTGTGTGTGTGTGTGTGTGTGTGAGAGAATGTTATTCAGTTCCACAGGGTGCACACAGCACACATCTGTGTGGAGTATAGCCGAGTTGTCATGGAGACCAGCTATAATCAGTGGAATTCCTGAAGCTTCTCCCTGGTCTCCAGTGGCTTCCAGCTGGCATCATTCTCAATTAGCTATATTAGCCTGTGCGTGTGCGTGTGCGTGTGCGTGCGTGCGTGAAATATGAATAGCTGAAGCTTCTCTATGGTCTACGGTGACTCGTCACTCTCAATTAGTTCTATTCGCCAGCAAACACACACACAAACACACACAAACGCACATGGCTAAAGTAATTCAACTCTTGTCCATACCCTGTGTCCATGAAACACATGAGCTGTCGAAGAAGAGGAAGAAGAAGAAGCTTATTGTCCATTTTAAAGGTTCAAGACCTTTATTTACCTTCTACTGATTCAGTCAGGCGCCAACATAGACAATGAGTGACACACAGGCTTTCTTCTAATCACTATATAATCAACTACATAACCAATGACATCAGCACTATGAGGTCATAACCAGGAAGTACAGCCGCTCGTCTTTCGCCTCCATTCATTTCACTCATTGTTCAATACTGTGACTAATCCACAGTGGGGAGAACAAGTATTTGATACACTGCCGATTTTGCAGGTTTTCCTACTTACAAAGCATGTAGAGGTATGTCATTTTTATCATAGGTACACTTCAACTGTGAGAGACGGAATCTAAAACAAAAATCCAGAAAATCACATTGTATGATTTTAAAGTAATTAATTTGCATTTTATTGCATGACATAAGTATTTGATCACCAACCAACCAGTAAGAATTCCGGCTCTCACAGACCTGTTCGTTTTTCTTTAAGAAGCCCTCACTGTTCTCCACTCATTACCTGTATTAACTGCACCTGTTTGAACTCGTTACCTGTATAAAAGACACCTGTCCACACACTCAATCAAACAGACTCCAACCTCTGATAAAAATTACAGACCTCTACATGCTTTGTAAGTAGGAAAACCTGCAAAATCGGCAGTGTATCAAATACTTGTTCTCCCCACTGTATCTTATTCAGCTATCCTCCAGTACCACCTTGCATTTAATCCACAAGACAATACAATACAACCACTTCCTCCATGTATCACAATGGGATTATTATTTTCTCATTATCTGTACCCCAAATGGCACCCTATTTGCTATGTAGTGCACTACTTTTAACCAGTTTGACCAGGGGCTGGGCCCATAGGGCTCTGGTCAAAAGTAGTTCACTATATAGGGAATAGGATGCCATTTGTGACGAAGCCATTACGTACCCTGACCGTTCCCATTAGATGCATTGTAGAGACTCCATAGAAGTTGTGCAACAATTAGTGTGTATTATGTAAGGGTCTGTCAGACTGCAATCTGAAACCATTCACAGCAGCTGCTGCACCTCATCTCCATTCACAGATGCAATCTGCTACAAACACACACCACACCAGAGGCACAGACACACGCATGCAGGCTGAATAGAATAGATACAGGTGTTCTGTTCAGGAGGAAATAGAATAGATACAGGTGTTCTGTTCAGGAGGAAAGCCTGGAAGGTTCCACTTCTGAACACCCAACTATCTAGTAGACCTATATCTAGCCTTATACTGTATGAGTAATGATGGCGTTGTGTATGTTTTGTATTTCTACTTCCTGTATTGACTTACCAGTGTTCTTTTATGTTTGTATAACAAAAAGTCCCTTCAAGGGCAGTACCATTTATTTTGTCCCCCACGGGTTGGACCAATTGGGGGCCCTTAAAGACAAAAAGGAGAGGAGGGGGGAGGGGGGGGGGGGGGGGGGGGGGGGGGGGGGGGGCTTTCTCTCTCCGGCCTGGGCCCTTGGTCTCTCCCCGTCTCGGGGCTCTATCTCTTTCTTTTCTTTTCTTTTCCTCTCTCTCCTCCTCTCGCTTTTCTCTCTCGCCCCCTTTTTCTCTCCCCCTTTTCTCTCTCTCTCCCCTTTTCTCTCTTCCCCTCTCCCCTTACCTTCCCTTTTTTCTCCCCCCCCGGGCCTTTCCCCCTTTGCTCCCCGCCCCCCCTCCCCCCCCCGGGGTTTTTTCCCCCCATTTTTCCGGGTTTTCCCCCCCCCCCCCCTCCCCCCCCTCTCTTTGGGGAAGGGGGGTTCCCTTTTTTAATCCCCTTGGGAACCCAGGAAAAATAAATCCCCCCAAATTTTTATTTTTTAATAAAAAAAAAAAATTTAAAAATCGGCCCAAGACCACACCCCCCACCGCAGCCATTTTAAGGAAAAAAGCCCCGCTACTTCGTTTTTTAATGAACCCCCGGGGGCTTTCCCTTTTAAATTTCCGAATTTTTTCATTTTAAAAAATTAATTAGGCCCTTTGTTAAAAAACCCCGTTTGAAGTTCCCGGGGCAGGAAAAAGGATATGGGGGGTCCTCTCTCTACATGAAAAAGGGTGGTCCTCTTTTTAAAACCCCGGTTTTGGTGGTCCCCCTCTCTACAGGGGATATGGGGTCCTTCTCTTACATTTATAAGGTGGCCCCTCTCTCTAAAAATTGGAAAATTTGTCCCCCCCTCCTTTTACATTCCCATTTTTTTTTCCCTCTCTACAGTGAAAACCGGTGGCCCTTTTCCTCTCAGTAAAATGGTGGTCCCTCTTACAGTGATGGGTGGCCCTTTCCCCTCAAAGTGATACGGTGGTCCTCTCTCTCCGTGAAAAATGGCCCTCCCCCTCATTGTTTTGGGGGTTTTTCCTCTCTCTCCCGTGATGGGGGTCCCCCTCTCTACGTGATCCGGGGGTCTTCTCTTTTTGCAGTGAAAACATTTGGTTTTCTCACTCTGCAGCATACAGCATCTTGTCTCCCTCCCCGCGAAAACCGCAGCTTGTCTCCCTACCGATACAGATTTTGTCTCCCTACAGCGTTTACAGCATCTTGTCCCCCCCTCCCAAAGGGCGATCAGAAAGGCCCCTTGTCCTCTCCAAAAAAGCGAACCAGTTTGCCCCTCTCTAAAAACCACACACCAAAACACACACAGTACACACCCCCACGATTGGCCAAATTAGCCTTTTTTTATCATTAAAAAGGCCCGAAAAATAAAAAAAGAAAACCTTCAAATTCCCTTGGGCACTTCCGACCATTTTTCCCCCCGTTTTTTTTTCCCCCGCACGTAAAATTTTTAAAAAAATTTCCCAGCCCCTTTCCCCTCCTCTCCTCCCCACCCCCCCCCCCACCATCCGGGAAAAGGGCACCCACTTTTTTTTGGCATAATATCCCTGGGGCTTTTCCCAAATGGCACCCTTTCCTATATAGTCATTATTTTTTAAAACCCACACCCTGGGGGCCCTTTTTCCCTATATACAGTTGAATTTGGGAATTTAACATCCATTTTGGTTGGAGTCTTTTAAAAACTCTTTTTCCCCCCCCATTTTCCCAAAACATTTTTTGGGTTAAAAAACTATTTTTTTGGCAATTCTTTTGGGGACATCTCCCTGTGCATGACACAAGTATTTTTTCCAAAAATTTTTTTCAACGGATTATTTCATTTAATAATTCACTGTACAAAATTTTCCAGGGGGGTCAAAATTTTTACATACACAAGTTGACGGGTCCCTTTTTAAACACCCTTTGGAAAATTCCAGAAATGTTTTCCCGGGGTTTTAGAAGCTTCCCCAAAAAGGCAATTTGACAAAATTGGGGCCCAATTGGATTTTAAACCTGGGGGAATGTTTTCCCAAGGCCAAACCTTCAGACCGGGGGCCTTTTTTGTTTGACAGGGGGAAAAATCAAAACAAACCCAGCCAAGCCCCTCAGAAAAAAAATTTGGGAAGACCCCACAAGTCTGGTTCATCCCTTGGGAGAAATTTTCCCCAAATCCCTAAAGGGTATCCCACGTTCATGAAACAAACAATTACCAAGTAAAAAAAAAACCTGGGACCACGCAGCCCGTCAAAAAAACCGCTCAGGAAGGAACCCCGTTCTGCCCTTCCCTAGAAAATGAACGATTTTGGGGTGCGAAAAGGCAAATAAAACCCAAAAAACACAAAGGCCCCTTGGGTGAAGTGCTGGGGGAAAACCCGTACAAATTTCTTTTTCCACTAAAACAAGTCCTATTTTCGCCAAAACCAAAAGGCCGCTAAGAAAAGGGAAGAACCCAAACTGCCCCAAAAAAACCGCCATAAAAAAGCAAGATTTAAGGTTTGAAAACCGGGGCCCTTTGGGGGACAAAGTTTTTATTTTTTTGGAAAAATTTCCTCTGGTCTTAAAACAAAAATAGAACTTTTTTGGCCATAATACCATCTTTATGTTTGGGAAAAAAGGGGGATTTTTTGCGCCAAACCCCAAACCCCAACCGTAAGCCGGGGTTTGGCAGTCATGCTGTAGGGGTGTTTTGCTGAGGAGGGACTGGTAAAAACTTCACAAAATAAAATGGCACATGGGGAAAGGGGAAAATTTAAATGTGGTATTTTGGGAACAACACTCAAGACTTTCAGTCAGGAAGTTAAACCTTGGTGGGAAAAAAATGGGTCCCCAAAATGGACAATAAACCCAACATATTTCCCAAATTTTGGGAAAAGGGTTTAAAGACGAAAAAAGTAAAGTATTGGAGGGGCCCATCACAAGCCTCCCTAACCCTATAGAAAATATGGGGGGCGGAATTTAAAAAAAGCAGGGCGAGCAAGGGGGCCCCACAAACCTGCTCAGTTAAACCCCCGCTCTGTCAGGAGGAAAAAGGCCCAAAAAATTAAACCCAACTTTTGTGGGAAGCTTTTTTGGAAGGCTACCCAAAACATTTGCCCCAAATTTAAAAAACCATTTAAAGCAAGCAAAACCAAATCAAATTTTAGTGATGAAAACTTCTAAACCCACGGGGAAATGGGAGGGTGGTCCCTGTACCCTCAGCGGGTAAGCAGGGGCCTTGAAACCGCCAAGGTATGGGTTCGTCCCCCGGGACCACCCATACAAAAAAATGTATGCACCCTGACTGAAAGTCTTTTTTGGGAAAAAAGCGTCTGCTAATGGCATTTTTAAAAAGAAATAAAGCTTAAAAAATAAAAATTCTCTCTACTATTATTTCCTGACATTTAAACATTTTTAAAAAAAATAAAGTGGGGGAACCTAATGACCTAAGACGGGAATTTCCCTTGGATTTAAATGTCAAAATTTTGTAAAAAACTGATTTTAAAATGTTTTTGGCTGAGGTGTATGAAACTTTCCGCTTCAACGGTTTTTCCCGGGTGCACTTACAGCAAAAAGTCCCGCATTTCCCCTCTCTCCTTTACAATGCATCTGCTACAACCACACACACGAGGCACGCACGAGGCAGAGGCTGAATTAATAGATACAGTGTTCTGTTCAGAGGAAAGCCTGGAAGGTTCCACTTCTGAACACCAACAGATCTAGTAGACCTATATCTAGCCTTATACTGTATGAGTAATGATGGCGTTGTGTATGTTTTGTATTTCTACTTCCTGTATTGACTTACCAGTGTTCTTTTATGTTTGTATAACAAAAAGTCCCTTCAAGGGCAGTACCATTTATTTTGTAGCCCACGGATTGGACACAAATTGTGGCTTGAGACAGAAAGCAAGAGAGAGAGTGGGAGGGAGTGAGGGGGTGGGGGTGGGAGAGAGATGAGACGAGAGAATGATAGAGAGGATTAGATCGATATACTCAGAGATAGACGCACTATAAGATCAGATCTAGAGACTTAGCTGAAGTAGAGGCATGAACAAGTGTTTGTGGTCCTCTCTCTACATGTGATATGGTGGTCCTCTCTCTCAGTGATATGGTGTCCTCTCTCTACGTGATATGGTGGTCCTCTCTCTACAGTGATATGGTGGTCCTCTCTCTACAGTGATATGGTGTCCTCTCTCTACAGTGATAAGGTGGTCCCTCTCTACAGTGAAATGGTGGTCCTCTCTCTACAGTGATAAGGTAGTCCTCTCTCTACAGTGATACGGTGGTCTTCTCTCTACAGTGAAATGGTGGTCCTCTCTCTACAGTGATATGGTGGTCCTCTCTCTACAGTGATAAGGTGGTCCTCTCTCTACAGTGATATGGTGGTCCTCTCTCTACAGTGAATGTGGTCCTCTCTCTACAGTGATAAGGTGGTCCTCTCTCTACAGTGATAAGGTGGTCCTCTCTCTACAGTGATATGGTGGTCCTCTCTCTACAGTGATAAGGTGGTCCTCTCTCTACAGTGATAAGGTGGTCCTCTCTCTACAGTGATAAGGTGGTCCTCTCTCTACAGTGATAAGGTGGTCCTCTCTCTACAGTGATAAGGTGGTCCTCTCTCTACAGTGATAAGGTGGTCCTCTCTCTACAGTGATAAGGTGGTCCTCTCTCTACAGTGATAAGGTGGTCCTCTCTCTACAGTGATACAGTGGTCTTCTCTCTTTGCAGTGATACAGTAGTCTTGTCTCCCTACAGCGATACAGCAGTCTTGTCTCTCTACAGCGATACAGTAGTCTTGTCTCTCTGCAGTGATACAGCAGTCTTGTCTCCCTACAGCGATACAGTAGTCTTGTCTCTCTACAGCGATACAGCAGTCTTGTCTCTCTACACACACACACACACACACAGTACACTATCCCACGAGGTTGGCCTAATTATGCCATTACTCATTCAAATGAGACAGCAAAATAAAAAAAGTAAAGCCTTAAATTCCCTTCGCACTTCCGACCATTATTTACCGTTTTATTTTCCCAGCACTGTAAAATCTTGAAATGATAATTGCAGCCCTCCTTCCCCTCCTCTCCTCCCCACGCCCCCACACCATCCGTGGCAAAGCACCTCACTTCTGGCATAATATGCTAGGCTGTGTCCCAAATGGCACCCTATTCCATATATAGTCATTATATTGTGATAACTACACCCTATGGGCCCTGTTCCCTATATACAGTTGAAGTCGGAAGTTTACATACACTTAGGTTGGAGTCGTTAAAACTCGTTTTCCAACCACTCCACACATTTCTTGTTAACAAACTATAGTTTTGGCAAGTCGGTTAGGACATCTACTCTGTGCATGACACAAGTACTTTTTCCAACAATTGTTTACAGACGGATTATTTCACTTATAATTCACTGTATCACAATTCCAGTGGGGTCAGAAGTTTACTGTGCCTTTAAACAGCTTGGAAAATTCCAGAAAATGATGTCATGGCTTTAGAAGCTTCTCATAGGCTAATTGACATAATTTGAGTCAATTGGAGGTGTACCTGTGGATGTATTTCAAGGCCTACCTTCAGACTCGGTGCCTCTTTGCTTGACATCATGGGAAAATCAAAACAAATCAGCCAAGACCTCAGAAAAATAATTGTAGACCTCCACAAGTCTGGTTCATCCTTGGGAGCAATTTCCAAATGCCTGAAGGTACCACGTTCATGTATACAAACAATAGTACGCAAGTATAAACACCATGGGACCACGCAGCCGTCATACCGCTCAGGAAGGAGACGCGTTCTGTCTTCTAGAGATGAACGTACTTTGGTGCGAAAAGTGCAAATCAAACCCAGAACAACAGCAAAGGACCTTGTGAAGATGCTGGAGGAAACAGGTACAAAAGTATCTATATCCACAGTAAAACAAGTCCTATATCGACATAACCTGAAAGGCCGCTAAGCAAGGAAGAAGCCACTGCTCCAAAACCGCCATAAAAAAGCAAGACTACGGTTTGCAACCGCACATTGGGACAAAGATTGTACTTTTTGGAGAAATGTCCTCTGGTCTGATGAAACAAAAATAGAACTGTTTGGCCATAATGACCATCGTTATGTTTGGAGGAAAAAAGGGGGTGCTTGCAAGCCGAAGAACACCATCCCAACCGTGAAGCACGGGGGTGGCAGCATCATGCTGTAGGGGTGCTTTGCTGCAGGAGGGACTGGTACACTTCACAAAATAGATGGCATCATGAGGAAGGAAAATTATGTGGATATATTGAAGCAACATCTCAAGACATCAGTCAGGAAGTTAAAGCTTGGTCGCAAATGGGTCTTCCAAATGGACAATGATCCCAAGCATACTTCCAAAGTTGTGGAAAAATGGCTTAAGGACGACAAAGTCAAGGTATTGGAGTGGCCATCACAAAGCCTGACCTCAATCCTATAGAAAATATGTGGGCTGAACTGAAAAAGCATGTGCGAGCAAGGAGGCCTACAAACCTGACTCAGTTACACCAGCTCTGTCAGGAGGAATAGGCCAAAATTCACCCAACTTATTGTGGGAAGCTTGTGGAAGGCTACCCGTAACATTTGACCCAAGTTAAACAATTTAAAGACAATGCTACCAAATACTAATTGAGTGTATGTAAACTTCTGACCCACTGGGAATGTGATGTGGTCCTCTGTAGCTCAGCTGGTAGAGCACGGCGCTTGTAACGCCAAGGTAGTGGGTTCGATCCCCGGGACCACCCATACACAAAAATGTATGCACGCATGACTGTAAGTCGCTTTGGATAAAAGCGTCTGCTAAATGGCATATTATGAAAGAAATAAAAGCTTAAATAAATCATTCTCTACTATTACTCTGACATTTCACATTCTTAAAATAAAGTGGTGATCCTAACTGACCTAAGACAGGGAATTTTCACTAGGATTAAATGTCAGGAATTGTGAAAAACTGAGTTTAAATGTATTTGGCTAAGGTGTATGTAAACTTCCGACTTCAACTGTATTCTGTGCACTTACAGCAGAGTACAGCTTGGCTTGGCTGTGTCCCAAATGGCACTCTGTTCCCTATATAGAGCACTACTTTTGACCAGAGCCCATAATAGGAAATAGGGTGGCATTTTAGTCGGAGACCCAGTGATTCAGGAGGAGGATGGTAATTTTCCCATCGATCCGTTGGTCCGTGGGGCTTGGAGTTAGGAGTTAGGACACCCCGCCTGCGTTGGCTGACCCTCCAAACGGCCCACAGCTTTTTGAACTAAATGGAAATGTGAACAACTGGCTCCTTCTTTACCATACACTCTCTGTCTCTAGCTACATAATGCAAAACTTATACATAACAGAGTGCAACTTTTCGAAAGAAGTTTCGGAAAATATAGGGTCGTAACATAATGTAGGATGTAACGTGGGACTGTAGCATGCATAACATGTGAAAAAGGAGGCAAACTTATACATAACCCAAATGTATAAATAACCCAAGTAGAATTTTCAGATAAGTAGTGGGAGCACTTGAAGGGAGACATGTATTCTAAGGTAAGACATGTATTCTAAGTTCTTTTGACACGTAAGGAACATGGCTGTGTTTGACCAGCTGTGTCCCAAATGGCACCATATCCCTATGGGCATACGGTTCCATTTGGCCAGCTCCTACACAGACGGAGCTGTGATTCACATGCCGCTGTGTGTAACAGATCATCTTTAAAAGCGGTGTCAGACAAATTAATAGTATTTATCACATTAACTAGGTACAAAGGATGTCCTCGCTCCTCACTAGCTCCCGCTGCCATGACAGCATCATCTGTACTGAATCATCTCTATCTTTAAAGGGGCAATCTGCGTTTCAAACAATAACAAAGCGTCACCCCGCCACTGTTTCGGTAAACAGCTGAGGGATGGGGCTGGAGAAATGTAACCACTCTCAAATTCATAGCGCTATGGATGCAAGGACTGACCATCCATGCTATCAAAATTAGGCTTGGGCGGTATACCATATACAGTGGGGGAAAAAAGTATTTAGTCAGCCACCAATTGTGCAAGTTCTCCCACTTAAAAAGATGAGAGAGGCCTGTAATTTTCATCATAGGTACACGTCAACTATGACAGACAAAATGAGGGAAAAAAATCCAGAAAATCACATTGTAGGATTTTTTATGTATTTATTTGCAAATTATGGTGGAAAATAAGTATTTGGTCACCTACAAACAAGCAAGATTTCTGGCTCTCACAGATCTGTAACTTCTTCTTTAAGAGGCTCCTCTGTCCTCCACTCGTTTCCTGTATTAATGGCACCTGTTTGAACTTGTTATCAGTATAAAAGACACCTATCCACAACCTCAAACAGTCACACTCCAAACTCCACTATGGCCAAGACCAAAGAGCTGTCAAAGGACACCAGAAACAAAATTGTAGACCTGCACCAGGCTGGGAAGACTGAATCTGCAATAGGTAAGCAGCTTGGTTTGAAGAAATCAACTGTGGGAGCAATTATTAGGAAATGGAAGACATACAAGACCACTGATAATCTCCCTCGATCTGGGGCTCCACGCAAGATCTCACCCCGTGGGGTCAAAATGATCACAAGAACGGTGAGCAAAAATCCCAGAACCACACGGGGGGACATAGTGAATGACCTGCAGAGAGCTGGGACCAAAGTAACAAAGCCTACCATCAGTAACACACTACGCCGCCAGGGACTCAAATCCTGCAGTGCAAGACGTGTCCCCCTGCTTAAGCCAGTACATGTCCAGGCCCGTCTGAAGTTTGCTAGAGTGCATTTGGATGATCCAGAAGAGGATTGGGAGAATCTCATATGGTCAGATGAAACCAAAATATAACTTTTTGGTAAAAACTCAACTCGTCGTGTTTGGAGGACAAAGAATGCTGAGTTGCATCCAAAGAACACCATACCTACTGTGAAGCATGGGGGTGGAAACATCATGCTTTGGGGCTGTTTTTCTGCAAAGGGACCAGGACGACTGATCCGTGTAAAGGAAAGAATGAATGGGGCCATGTATCGTGAGATTTTGAGTGAAAACCTCCTTCCATCAGCAAGGGCATTGAAGATGAAACGTGGCTGGGTCTTTCAGCATGACAATGATCCCAAACACACCGCCCGGGCAATGAAGGAGTGGCTTCGTAAGAAGCATTTCAAGGTCCTGGAGTGGCCTAGCCAGTCTCCAGATCTCAACCCCATAGAAAATCTTTGGAGGGAGTTGAAAGTCCGTGTTGCCCAGCGACAGCCCCAAAACATCACTGCTCTAGAGGAGATCTGCATGGAGGAATGGGCCAAAATACCAGCAACAGTGTGTGGAAACCTTGTGAAGACTTACAGAAAACGTTTGACCTGTGTCATTGCCAACAAAGGATATATAACAAAGTATTGAGAAACTTTTGTTATTGACCAAATACTTATTTTCCACCATAATTTGCAAATAAATTCATTAAAAATCCTACAATGTGATTTTCTGGATTTTTTTTTCTCATTTTGTCCGTCATAGTTGACGTGTACCTATGATGAAAATTACAGGCCTCTCTCATCTTTTTAAGTGGGAGAACTTGCACAATTGGTGGCTGACTAAATACTTTTTTTCCCCACTGTATACCTTATACTGGGGTATTTGGAAATAGCCACGGGATGGTTTTTCAATACCGTTTAAACTATTTATTTGATGTGTATCTTTTTTTTTTTTGTGCTGCTTTTTAAGTAAATACCTGCAGTAAAATACGTTAGGAGATAAAGCGGATCACATTCTGTTGTCCAGCACACGCCAGGTGATCTAGTTACAGTAGGGAATTCACAACTAATTGTTTGCCAGCTAGATATCTTATAACTATTAAGTTAACTGTCTAAAATGTGCTAAATGCTCTGCAGTTGTGCATTTGGTTTGCTAACTTAGTAGTTAGCTATCTAGCTGGTTAGCTTCTTGCAAAATCAAGCGCTTGGTAACAGAGAATCACCTCCTGGATCAAGAGCCTTGCTGTCTAATATTTGTTTTGTGCGTGCAGCAAACTGTGAGTAGCATTTTTGAATTACTTGTATAACTTTATGAGCTGGGATGTCTGTCCTGCAAATAGTTTATGTCAAAGAGTGTATAAATGTCCGTAATGCGCTCGTTAGTATTTAGCTAGCATTCTCTATGGGATTTTACATATACTTGTTAGCATTGCTAACCTTTGGATTACAGAGACTCAGCGGGGTTTGAAAATACATCTCCTTGTGTTACATGCCGGTACTACCGAATATCCCAGGATGGCACAAGGTCAGTATGCAGGCATGACAATCTGAATACCGCCCATGCCTAATCAAAATTATAGTTGTAACCATGTGTTACAATTACATTGTTTACAAACATTGGAGTAAAAACAAGCTTACATTTTGGGTTCTGATGGGGTACGACAGTTGAACTAAGCTCATGAGCCATTTATAAGTGATATTCTTCAAGAATCAATGTGTACATATCATTAATTTATAAGTCCAAAAATGGATGTAGCAACTGCAGATTGCCCCTTTAATTACTATAATTACAGCCTGACACTGACAGTTCAATCTCCACACTGCACTGTTCCCTGGTCGTCATACTCCCCATATCTCCATATCCTAGACACATGTATATCTATCTTCCTGCGTCCCAAATAGCACCCTATTTCCTACATAGTGTGTATGAGCCCTGGTCAACCTCTACGGCTCTGCCCTGACCCAGTTGAGTAGACCAACAACCCCCCATTGCTGCGGCCCTCAATGGTTATCTGAGTGAGAACAGAGGAAGATATAACACTGCACTACACACACACACACACACACACACACACACACACACACACACACACAGGGGAAGAGATACAGCGGCCCCCCTGGTGTGGCGTGAGCATGCGGTGCTCAAGGTGTGAGTCACCAACTCGCCAGCTCACCAGCACGTAGCCATCCGGCCGGAAACTACGTAAAACCTTCCCCTTGCAGCTTTCCAGAAAATACTGACTGCATTACGGGGCCACACACACACACACACACACACACACACACACACACATCTGGTCTTTCTTGGAGAAAGTACATGTTGTGCAGCCAGGGAACCTCTAAAATTAGTTTCCATTGACTCCCAGTGTGATTATTAACTTTCCATTGCTGCGCCGGCACAGTCAGCGACACAGTGACGTCAAATACTGTCCTTCACCTAGACTCACTACATCATCAGCAGAGGGGCTCTCAGGGAGGGAGCGTGTGTTTACTTACTGCACAGGCCGATGATGTGGCTGCTGTCTTCATGGACAAACTTCTTAGTCACCGCCTCCTCCATGATCTGTTTCACCTGTACAGAGAGACAAGACACAGGATCATTGTCGTCATTAAAAATGGTCTTCATTACCATCATCACCATCGAAAAATCATCATCCTCATCATTACCATCGTCCTCATCATTACCGTCGTCATCATTACCATTGTCATGACCATCATCATTACCATCGTCATCATCATTACCATCGTCATCATTACCATTGTCATGACCATCATCATTACCATTGTCATGACCATCATCATTACCATCGTCATCATTACCATTGTCATGACCATCATCATTACCATCGTCATCATCATTACCATCGTCATCATTACCATCATCATTACCATCGTCATCATCATTACCATTGTCATGACCATCATCATTACCATCGTCATCATTACAATTGTCATGACCATCATCATTACCATCCTAATCATCATTACCATCCTCATCATCATCCTCATCAAATGAAATCAAATTGTATTTGTCACATGTGCTGAATACAACAGGTGTAGACCTTACAGTGAAATGCTTACTTACAAGCCCTTAACCAACAATGCAGTTTTAAGAAAAATAAGTGTTAAGTAAAAAATAGAAAAGTAAAACATTTTAAATTTAAAGAAATAACAAATCATTAAAGAACAGCAGTAAAATAACAGTAGAGAGGCTATATACTGGGGGTACTGGTACAGAGTCAATGTGCGGGGGCACAGGTTAGTCGAGGTAATTGAGGTAATATGTACAAAGGTAACTGAACTAAATGACTATCGCCCCGTAGCACTCACCTCTGTCATCATGAAGTGCTTTGAGAGACTAGTCAAGGATCATATCACCTCTACCTTACCTGTCACCCTAGACCCACTTCAATTTGCTTACCGCCCCAATAGATCCACAGACGATGCAATCGCCATCACACTGCACACTGCCCTATCCCATCTGGACAAGAGGAATACCTATGTAAGAATGCTGTTCATTGACTATAGCTCAGCATTCAACACCATAGTACCCTACAAGCTCATCATTAAGCTCGAGGCCCTGGGTCTGAACCCCGCCCTGTGCAACTGGGTCCTGGACTTCCTGACGGGCCGCCCCCAGGTGGTGAAGGTAGGAAATAGCATCTCCACTTCGCTGATCCTCAACACTGGGGCCTCCCTATTTCCTTATAGTGCACCATGGCCCATAGGGCTCTGGTTAAACGTAGTGCACTATATAGGGAATAGGGTGTCATTTGGGATGCAAACTAACTTCTACTGTGAAGGAAGTCAACGTGAGGAATGATACCAAGCTTGTTTTACCCCAGTTCTGTATGATGGTTTCTGGTGGTGACTGTCCCTTTTGATTGCATGTCACATTGAGTCCACAAAAACACATTGAACAGTTTCAAAACACAACACTTCAATTAACATACAGGTAGTTAAAATGTATTCCTTTTCATCACCTAGTCATTACTGATGACCTTGTATTGGAAATGACTGACCGGCTGTGCCTAGTGGTCAATATCAATGGCCAGTTCAGCTTACATCTCCGGGTGCATCCCGAATATACAGTGCATTCGGAAAGTATTCAGACCCCTTGACTTTTTCCACATTTTGTTAAGTTACAGCCTTATTCTAAAATTGATTAAAAAATAAATAATCCTCATTAATCTACACACAATACCCCATAATGACAAAGCAAAAACAGATTTTTTTGATTTCTTTTGGGGGGGGGGGGGGGGAATAAAATTTAAAAAATGGATTAAATTGTTTATTTTTCTTCATCAATCTACACACAATACCATGACAATGCTAAAACTGGTTTACATTTTTTTGCAAATTCATTAAAAATACAAAACTGAAATATCACATTTACATAAGTATTCAGACCCTTTGCTCAGTATTTTGTTCGAAGCACCTTTGGCAGCGATTACATCAAGACTTTCTTGGGTATGGTGCTACAAACTTGGCACACCTGTATTTGGGGAGTTTCTCCCATTCGTCTCTACTGATCCTCTCAAGCTCTGTCAGGTTGGATGGGGGGCATCGCTCCACAGCTATTTTCAGGTCTCTCCAGAGATGTTCGATCGGGTTCAAGTCCGGGCTCTGGCTGGGCCACTCAAGGAAATTCAGAGTCTTGTCCTGAAGCCACTCCTGCGTTGTCTTGGCTGTGTGCTTAGGGTTGTTGTCCTGTTGAAAGGTGAACCTTCGCCCCAGTCTGAGGTCCTGAGCGCTTTGGAGCAGGTTTTAATCAAGGATCTCTCTGTACTTTGCTCTGTTAATCTTTCCCTCGAACCTGACTAGTCTCCCAGTCCCTGCCGCTGAAAAACATCCCCACAGCATGATGCTGCCACCACCATGCTTCACCGTAGGGATGGTGACAGGTTTCCTCCAGACGTGACACTTGGCATTCAGGCCAAAGAGTTCAATCTTGGTTTCATCAGACCAGAGAATCTTGTTTCTCATGGTCAGAGTCCTTTAGGTGCCTTTTGGCATACTCCAAGCGGGCTGTCATGTGCCTTTTACTGAGGAGTGGCTTCCATCTGGCCACTCTACCATAAAGGCCTGATTGGTGGAGTGCTGCAGAGATGGTTGTCCTTCTGGAAGGTTCTCCCATCTCCACAGAGGAACTCTGGAGCTCTGTCAGAGTGACCATCGGGTTCTTGGTCACCTCCCTGACCAAGGCCCTTCTCCCCCGATTGCAAAGTTTGGCCGTGCGGCCAGCTCTAGGAAGAGTCTTGGTGGTTCAAAACTTATTCCATTTAAGAATGATGGAGGCCACTGTGTTCTTGGTGGACCTTCAATGCTGCAGACACTTTTTGGTACCCTTCCCCAGATCTGTGCCTCGAACACAATCCTGTCTCGGAGCTCTACGGACAATTCCTTCGACCTCATGGCTTGGTTATTGCTCTGACATGCACTATCAACTGTGGGACCTTATATAGACAGGTGTGTGCCTTTCCAAATCATGTCCAATCAATTGAATTTACCACAGGTGGACTCCAATCAAGTTGTAGAAACATCTCAATGATGATCAATGGAAACAAAACATTTATTGAATCCATTTTAGATTAAGGCTGTAACGTAACAAAATGTGGAAAAATTCAATGGGTCTGAATACTTTCCGAATGCACTGTATATCTTTTTTTTGGAATAACTACATACAGTAGAATCGACGTAAGGGCATTGGAAATGTATTTGGCTGTTGATCTGCTTGATGTTCTGTACGTGTCATAGTGTGATCTTTTCAAAGGTCTCTGGGGGGCCTTGGGATCCAGGTGGGCAGGGGTTCAAAGGTCACTGGAGAACAATTGGAGGTTTACTCAGTAGCACTGCAGATACATGGACACTCAATCATCATGATGCTTTTTAATGGTAAGTTTACAAACATTATAAATAAATAGATCTCATTATGGTAAATGGTGAAATAAGTATAGCCAGTTATACAGTGAGGGAAAAAAGTATTTGATCCCCTGGCTGATTTTGTACGTTTGCCCACTGACAAAGAAATGATCAGTCTATAATTTTAATGGTAGGTTTATTTGAACAGTGAGAGACAGAATAACAACAACAAAATCCAGAAAAACGCATGTAAAAAAATGTATGAATTGAATTGCATTTTAATGAGGGAAATAAGTATTTGACCCCTCTGCAAAACATGACTTAGTACTTGGTGGCAAAACCCTTGTTGGCAATCACAGAGGTCAGACGTTTCTTATAGTTGGCCACCAGGTTTGCACACATCTCAGGAGGGATTTTGTCCCACTCCTCTTTGCAGATCTTCACCAAGTCATTAAGGTTTCGAGGCTGACGTTTGGCAACTCGAACCTTCAGCTCCCTCCACAGATTTTCTATGGGATTAAGGTCTGGAGACTGGCTAGGCCACTCCAGGACCTTAATGTGCTTCTTCTTGAGCCACTCCTTTGTTGCCTTGGCCATGTGTTTTGGGTCATTGTCATGCTGGAATACCCATCCACAACCTATTTTCATAGCGCTGGCTGAGGGAAGGAGGTTCTCACCCAAGATTTGACGGTACATGGCCCCGTCCATCGTCCCTTTGATGCGGTGAAGTTGTCCTGTCCCCTTAGCAGAAAAACACCCCCAAAGCATAATGTTTCCACCTCCATGTTTGACGGTGGGGATGGTGTTCTTGGGGTCATAGGCAGCATTCCTCCTCCTCCAAACACGGCGAGTTGAGTTGATGCCAAAGAGCTCCATTTTGGTCTCATCTGACCACAACACTTTCACCCAGTTCTCCTCCATCTATCAATCTGAATCATTCAGATGTTCATTGGCAAACTTCAGATGGGCCTGTATATGTGCTTTCTTGAGCAGGGGGACCTTGCGGGCGCTGCAGGATTTCAGTCCTTCACGGCGTAGTGTGTTACCAATTGTTTTCTTGGTGACTATGGTCCCAGCTGCCTTGAGATCATTGACAAGATCCTCCCGTGTAGTTCTGGGCTGATTCCTCACCGTTCTCATGATCATTGCAACTCACGAGGTGAGATCTTGCATGGAGCCTCGGGCCGAGGGAGATTGACAGTTATTTTGTGTTTCTTCCATTTGCGAATAATCGCACCAACTGTTGTCACCTTCTCACCAAGCTGCTTGGCGATGGTCTTGTAGCCCATTCCAGCCTTGTGTAGGTCTACAATCTTGTCCCTGACATCCTTGGAGAGCTCTTTGGTCTTGGCCATGGTGGAGAGTTTGGAATCTGATTGATTGATTGCTTCTGTGGACAGGTGTCTTTTATACAGGTAACAAACTGAGATTAATCTCAGCTCGTTACCTGTATAAAAGACACCTGGGAGCCAGAAATCTTTCTGATTGAGAGGGGGTCAAATACTTATTTCCCTCATTAAAATGCAAATCAATTTATAACATTTTTGACATGCGTTTTTCTGGATTTTGTTGTTGTTATTCTGTCTCTCACTGTTCAAATAAACCTACCATTAAAATTATAGACTGATCATTTCTTTGTCAGTGGGCAAACTTACAAAATCAGCAGGGGATCAAATACTTTTTTTCCCTCACTGTAATTGTAATGGCTTAGCAGATAAGAAAAGACGATCAGTATTTACCTGCTTAAAGAGAAAGAATATAATATTTATTGTTTACAGGAAACTCATTCAACAATTTTAGAGGAAGTTGTGTGGAAAAAGGACTGGGAGGGTGAAATATACTTCTCTCATGTGCAAAGAAACTCAAAAGGGGTGATGATATTAATTAACAATAATTTTGATCCGAATGTGCAAACAGATCCGCAAGATAGATGGATTATTTTAAATATGTTTGTAACGCAGACGTTGGGAGACGAGAAGCAGGTGAGGGTTAAATAAACAGACCAAAACAAGAATAGCATCTGGACATGAGAAACATAACAACATCAATGGGAATGAACCTAAGGGAGTGACAGATATAGGGGAGGTAATCAATGACGTGATGGTCCAGGTGAGTCCCATAATTAGGCACAGGTGCGCGTAACGATGGTGGCAGGTGTGCGTAATGATGAGTGAACTGGTGACCTGGAGCACCGGAGAGGGGGAGTGGGAGTAGTTGTGACAATGTTGTTGGACCATAAACAGATTTAGCTCATTAATCTATACAGTCCAAATAATGATGATCCACACTTCTTTGAAACTATAATAATTGATCAAGCAATACAAGACTCTATTATTATGGTGGAAGATTATAAAAACGGTTTTAAATACCTCAAAGGATCATCAAGGAAATCACACTACAAACTATCACCCTCATGCTCTTAAGGAAATCACGAATATCATGGATATATTGGAACTAGTGGATATATGGATGCTTAAATATTCTGACCTAGTGAGATTTAAATGGCGGAGACTCAATCAAGCTGGTCGTCTTGACAACTTTCTTATGTAATTCTCGTTGGCATCAAAAGTAAAACAAAGTGTTGATGGGGGACAGAATGCAGTTGGAACATCAAATAATTGGCATATACATTACTCTTACTGAATTTCCACGTGGGCGAGGATATTGGAAATTTTTATCAAAGCCTACTGGATGACAACTTGTTTTTAAACCAAGACAGAATAATTTATAACTGACTTTTTCCGACATAACAGCAGATCCCCTTATTGTATGGGACACTTTTAAATGTGCCTTTAGAGGCCATGCAATTCTGTACTCATCTTTAAAACAAAAGCAATTTAGGTCAAAATAGTTCATATTAACAAAGGAAATAGAGGGACTAATAGTACAGATAGATACAGTGGGGGAAAAAAAATATTTAGTCAGCCACCAATTGTGCAAGTTCTCCCACTTAAAAAGATGAGAGAGGCCTGTAATTTTCATCATAGGTACACGTCAACTATGACAGACAAATTGAGTTTTTTTTTCTCCAGAAAATCACATTGTAGGATTTTTTATGAATTTATTTGCAAATTATGGTGGAAAATAAGTATTTGGTCACCTACAAACAAGCAAGATTTCTGGCTCTCACAGACCTGTAACTTCTTCTTTAAGAGGCTCCTCTGTCCTCCACTCGTTACCTGTATTAATGGCACCTGTTTGAACTTGTTATCAGTATAAAAGACACCTGTCCACAACCTCAAACAGTCACACTCCAAACTCCACTATGGCCAAGACCAAAGAGCTGTCAAAGGACACCAGAAACAAAATTGTAGACCTGCACCAGGCTGGGAAGACTGAATCTGCAATAGGTAAGCAGCTTGGTTTGAAGAAATCAACTGTGGGAGCAATTATTAGGAAGTGGAAGACATACAAGACCACTGATAATCTCCCTCGATCTGGGGCTCCACGCAAGATCTCACCCCGTGGGGTCAAAATGATCACAAGAACGGTGAGCAAAAATCCCAGAACCACACGGGGGGACCTAGTGAATGGCCTGCAGAGAGCTGGGACCAAAGTAACAAAGCCTACCATCAGTAAAACAGTACGCCGCCAGGGACTCAGATCCTGCAGTGCCAGACGTGTCCCCCTGCTTAAGCCAGTACATGTCCAGGCCCGTCTGAAGTTTGCTAGAGTGCATTTGGATGATCCAGAAGAGGATTGGGAGAATGTCATATGGTCAGATGAAACCAAAATATAACTTTTTGGTAAAACCTCAACTCGTCGTGTTTGGAGGACAAAGAATGCTGAGTTGCATCCAAAGAACACCATACCTACTGTGAAGCATGGGGGTGGAAACATCATGCTTTGGGGCTGTTTTTCTGCAAAGGGACCTGGACGAATGATCAGTGTAAAGGAAAGAATGAATGGGGCCATGTATCGTGAGATTTTGAGTGAAAACCTCCTTCCATCAGCAAGGGCATTGAAGATGAAACGTGGCTGGGTCTTTCAGCATGACAATGATCCCAAACACACCGCCCGGGCAACAAAGGAGTGGCTTCGTAAGAAGCATTTCAAGGTCCTGGAGTGGCCTAGCCAGTCTCCAGATCTCAACCCCATAGAAAATCTTTGGAGGGAGTTGAAAGTCCGTGTTGCCCAGCGACAGCCCCAAAACATCACTGCTCTAGAGGAGATCTGCATGGAGGAATGGGCCAAAATACCAGCAACAGTGTGTGAAAACCTTGTGAAGACTTACAGAAAACGTTTGACCTGTGTCATTGCCAACACAGGGTATATAACAAAGTATTGAGAAACTTTTGTTATTGACCAAATACTTATTTTCCACCATAATTTGCAAATAAATTCATTAAAAATCCTACAATGTGATTTTCTGGATTTTTTTTCTCATTTTGTCTGTCATAGTTGAAAATTAAAGGCCTCTCTCATCTTTTTAAGTGGGAGAACTTGCACAATTGGTGGCTGACTAAATACTTTTTTTCCCCCACTGTATCAATACAAACTGTACCAGAGAGTCACAGAATAAGTTAGAGGAAAAACCAAAAGAACTGGAGGAACTTATTCAAGAAAGATCAAGTGTAATATATTATAAAAATAAAACAAACTTGGTGGAATATGGGGAAAAATGAACCAAATTATTTATTTATCTTCAACATGCTACCAAAAATGATTTACTGAAACTTGTTACAAATGACGGAGTCACCCATGATTCACCAAACTATATTTTGAAAGAGGAAGCAAAGTACTTTAAGCCTATGTATTCGTTTCAGTCTCCTCCATCGGCACTAACCGAAGTTAATGGTAAGGATTTTTTTTCTATTAATAATGTAAAATTAACAGCTGTACAGAAATACTCATGTGAAGGCCAAATTACAGAGGAGGAACTTTTTGATGCAATTAAAGCCTTTAAGTCCGGGAAAACTCCAGGGCTGGATGGCATACCAGTGGAGGTATATCAAACCTTTTCTGATGTACTCAGAGGACCGTTATTAGCATGTTTTAACCACTCCTATGTAAAGGGTGGATTATCAGATACTCAACAAGAAGGTCCGATTTCACTATTACTGATACAGGACTCAGGTGGGAAATATAAAGATCCAGTCCATTAAAACAAATTGGAGGCCCCTTATACTTCAGTGCTGTGATGTAAAGATTCGAGCAAAATGCATAGTGCATAGAATTAAAAAGGTATTGTTGGATATTATTCATCCTAATCAGACAGGTTTTTTTTACATGGACGATACATTGGAGATAATATAAGACAAGTACTGGAAACAATAGAGCACTATGAAAAATCTGGGAAACCAGGCCTGGTATTCATAGCTGACTTCGAAAAGGCTTTTGATAAAGTATGACTGAAATGTATATATAAATGCCTGGAATATTATAATTTTGAAGAATCTCTTATACAATGGGTTAAAGTTATGTATAGTAACCCTAGGTGTAAAATAATAAATAATGGATACTTCTCAGAAACTATTAAACTGTCAAGAGGAGTAAAACAAGGTTGTCCACTGTCGGAATATGTATTTTTATGGCCATCAAAATGTTAGCTATTAAAATCAGATCCAACAATACCTCTATGGATTACAACCAAATTATGATAAGTGTACTATATTACATATTGGATCCCTAAAAAAATACACCTTTTACATAAAATGGTCTGACAGTTAAGTGGACATACTAGGTATTCATATCCCGAAAGAAATAAATTATCTCACTACAATAAATGTTAATAGGAAGTTAGCAAAAATAGATAAGGTCTTGCAAACATGGGAAGGAAAATATCTGGTTATTTGTGGAAAAATCACCCTGATTAACTCTTTAGTAATATCCCAGTTTACCTATTTGCTTATGGCCCTGCCTACACCTAACAACTAGTTTTTTTTATTACATGAGCAAAAAAGATTCAATTTTATTTGGAATGGCAAGCCAGACAAAATTAAAAGGCCTATTTATATCATGAATATTAATTCGGAGGGCAGAAATGATTTAATATTAAAGTATTAGACCTCTCACTAAAGGCTTCAGTCATACAACATCTATACTTAAATCCAAACTGGTTCTCTAGCACATTAGTAAAAATGTCTCACCTCGTGTTCAAGAATGACCTTTTTCCCTTTATTCAGATTACAACCTCTCACTTTTGGTTACTTGAAAATGAAATGATCTCCAAAATATTGCAATTTTTAAAACAAGCCATAGAAAGTTGTTTGCAATTTCAGTTTAATCCACCAGAAAAGACAGAACAAATATTACAACAAATATTATGGTTAAACTCAAATAAACTAATTAATTAAAATTATTTTTCGATAAAATATTTAAAAATGGTATAATCTTTGTAAATTATATCCTAAATATGACTGGTGGAGTTGTCACACATGCAGCTAACAAAAATATATGGAAATGTCCTCTCTATCCAAAATTACAACCAACTAGTTGCAGCATTTCCGCAAAAATGGAAGAGGCAAGTGGAAGAAGGTAAGGAACTTGTCTGTCGGCCCTGCATTAAAGACCAAAACTGGTTAAAGAAAATTATGATAAATAAAAATACCAGTTTCATTTAAGGACCCATAAATTGACAGCTGTGCCATACAGGTTGCAAAATAGTTGGGAAGAGATTTTCGATGTACCGATTCCATGGCATGAACTGGTACACAAAACGACACCAGATTCAATTTAAATTATTATACAAAATTCTTGCAACCAATAGAATGTTATATATATATATATATATATATATATATATATATATATATATATATATATATGGGGGAAACAACCATCCCAGCTCTGCAGATTTTGCTGCCAAGAGACAGAATCTTTAGATCACTTGTTTTGGTACTCCCCATATGTAGCTTGTTTTTGGTCACAGGTTCAGGAATGGTTGAAGAATTGCAACATTTACCTGGAGCTAACTCTGCAAATAGCACTGCTGGGTGATTTGAAAAGTCATAGTCAATCGAACAATAATATAATAACACTGTTAATGTATCTTTAATTTACAATCTGTAGACACTATGACAATAGAAAGGTTTAACTTTTGTGAAACATCACAGCACAGTTGAAAAATATATGGCAAATAGAAATCAAAACTGGATGGTGTTCAGAGATAGATGGGAGGGGTTGAGGGGAGCTGAAGGGTGGGACTGGATGGTGTTCAGAGATAGATGGGAGGGGTTGAGGGGAGCTGAAGGGTGGGACTGGATGGTTTTAAGAGATAGATGGGAGGGGTTGAGGGGAGCTGAAGGGTGGGACTGGATGGTTTTAAGAGATAGATGGGAGGGGTTGAGGGGAGCTGAAGGGTAGGACTAAAAATAACAAAAAACAAGATAACTAATGTAAAATCTACTGTGTCCGTAAAATGTATATAGATGTATACTGTAAGCTGGAAGTAGAAGCCTAAGTGTTGTTGTCCATTAGTTTACTCCAATTAGGGGAGGGATGGTAGGGTTTGGGGAAAATAATAAAGAAGGAAAATTCAATAAAAAAATATATATATATTTACCCAAACATATATGGGGGATTGGAAATGATGCAGATAATTACGTTGACAGAAGCCACAATCTATCTGCAATATCAAAGCTGATCTACCCCCCAGAAAAAAGAAAAAAATAATTATAGTGATGTATCAGCTGCTGCAAACTATTAAAGGTGGCAGAAATCTGCTTACGCCAGACATCCCTAAATTATCAACAGTAATGGGCCTGTCAAGTTATCAATAGTAATGGGCCAATCAAGTTATCAATAGTAATGGGCGTGTTAAGTTATCAACAGTAATGGGCCTGTCAAGTTATCAACAGTAATGGGCCTGTCAAGTTATCAACAGTAATGGGCCTGTCAAGTTATCAACAGTAATGGGCCTGTCAAGTTATCAACAGTAATGGGCATGTTTAAGTTATCAACAGTAATGGGCCTGTCATTGTTGATTGAGCTGTAGATCGGTGATTTAGGTGGATTCCTTGTATCATTACCATTTTTACCAAGTGATAATGTTTTTTTTTAAGGCAGTTATACATTTTAAAAACATTACAATACATTCATAACAGATTTCACAACATATTAAGTGTGTGCTCTCAGGCCCCTACTCTACTACCACATATCTATAACACAAAATCCATGTGTACGTGTGTGTATAGTGCGTATGTTATCGTGTGTGTGTATGCATGTGTTGCTTCACAGTCCCCGCTGTTCCATAAGGTGTATTTGTATCTGTTTTTTAAATCTAATTTTACTGCTGGCATGAGTTACCTGATGTGGAATAGAGTTCCATGTAGTCATGGCTCTATGTAGTATTGTGCGCCTCCCATAGTCTGTTCTGGACTTGGGGACAGTGAAGAGACCTCTGGTGGCATGTCTTGTGGGGTATTGTGGGGTACATTAGTCTCAGGTGATGGACCTTCTCTGTCTCTCTCTCTCTCTCGCGCTCCTCTTCCTCTCTCTCTCGCGCTCCTCTTCCTCTCTCTCTCGCGCTCCTCTTCCTCTCTCTCTCTCTCGCGCTCCTCTTCCTCTCTCTCTCGCGCTCCTCTTCCTCTCTCTCTCGCGCTCCTCTTCCTCTCTCTCTCTCTCGCGCTCCTCTTCCTCTCTCTCTCCCTCGTCTCTTTCTTTCATGATGGTCAGTTCTGAGCTGTATCACCTCTCTGGGATTGCCTCAGATAATTGGGGTTATTTTTACCCTTTAAAACAAACAAAGGCCAGTGCTGACGTCGTTCCTCAGCCTCACTCCCACTGCATAACACACACACAAACACAAACACGGCCACAGACAGGCAGGCGGGGGAAGATAGACCACGGTGGCATCCCAAACGGCACCCTATTCACTATGTAGTACACTACCTTTGACCAGGGCCCTTTGGGATGCAGCCTAAAGCAGCCAGGGTCACACTAACTCGCTAATACGCAGCTACCTAGAAATGAACAAGTGCTACACACATGCGTGGATACACACACACACACACACTAAAACATAGCATTCATATACCTATGCCACTTTTCCAAATATTAGGAACCATAGCAACCCTAGTACTGCTGAAAAGATACAACAGGGATTTACTAGGAACCATAGCAACCATAGTACAGCTGAAAAGATACAACAGGGATTTACTAGGAACCATAGCAACCATAGTACAGCTGAAAAGATACAACAGGGATTTACTAGGAACCATAGCAACCATAGTGCTGCTGAAAGATACAACAGGGATTTACTAGGAACCATAGCAACCATAGTACAGCTGAAAAGATACAACAGGGATTTACTAGGAACCATAGCAACCATAGTGCTGCTGAAAGATACAACAGGGATTTACTAGGAACCATAGCAACCATACTATAGCTGAAAAGATACAACAGGGATTTACTAGGAACCATAGCAACCATAGTATAGCTGAAAAGATACAACAGGGATTTACTAGGAACCATAGCAACCATAGTGCTGCTGAAAAGATACAACAGGGATTTACATCAGGTACATATAACCAGTCAATAACCAGAGAAAATGATGATGAAGTCAATGCTGAGTGACAGAACACTGCAACTAAAGGGGTTATAGAACAGGACACAAAGCTAATTAGAACCTTGTAGATCACTCTCAGACTGTCTGTGTGTTACATAAGGATACATGTACTGTACCTCTCTGTCTAATGACTGAGACACATAGCTAGCGCAGGGAAACAATACCATTCACTTCAGGCCTCTAGGCACATGCACACCGGACAGTTTATTAGGTACATCAATCTACTACCGGGTCGGACCCCCCTTTGTCTCCAGAACAACCTGAATTCTTCGGGGCATTCTACAAGGTGTCGGAAACGTTCCACAGGGATGTTGGTCCATGCTGACGCGATGGCATCACGCAGTTGCTGCAGATTGCGTTCATGCTTCGAACAGCCCGTTCCATCTCATCCCAAAGATGGTCTACTGGGTTGAGGTCTGGGGACTGCTCAGGCCTCTCAGTAAACTGAACACTCTGTCATATTCAAGGCAATGTTTTTCCACTCCTCAATTGTGTTGGTGATCGCGTGCCCACTGGAGCCGCTTTAGCCGATAGGAGTGGAACATGGTGTGGTCGTGATATTTCTTCAGGGAAGAGAGGGGAATGTGGTTTAGCCCCTCTGTGTACAATATGGCAGTGAAGGTGCATCCATGCGATTATTGTCAACAAAGAAATGGACTGTATTAGAGAGATATCTTAGGTGTGGTTAATGTCTCTGCCATACGGTGATTCCCAGTAGCAGTTTTGATGCTGTTGCAGAGATTCATAGAATGACACAGGTTCCAAGAAAGCAATTGCAACTCTCTGAGTCCAAAGTCTGCAAATCTGTAACACTTTGCAAAGGTTGGCTGTAGGTAGTGGGCCCAATAAAATGAATTTGGGGGCAGAGTGATCTACCATTAAATGATTGGGGCATCACCCAGTCTCCTATCCCCACCATTCAAACCTCCACTCCCCATCAGTCACTCTAAGCACATCTCAGTGAGAGACTCAAAATGATGAATGATTCACCAAACCTATCAGATCCACTTGGTGAGAGTGAGTGAAGGCTCCCAACCACAGGAGGCTGCTGAGGGGAGGACGGCTCATAATAATGGCTGGAATGGAGTAAATGGAATGGTATCAAACATGGAAACCATTTATTCCGTTCCAGCCATTACTACAGTATGAGCCCGTCCTCCCCAATTAAGGTGCCACCAACCCCCTGTGCTCCCAACACACTGGGCAAAAAAACAGATTTTCTCCAGGATAGTAACGGTACGACCATGGACCGTTTGGACTAGCCACTGAGCCCGTAACGGTACGACCATGGACCGTTTGGACTAGCCACTGAGCCCGTAACGGTACGACCATGGTCCGTTTGGACTAGCCACTGAGCCCGTAACGGTATGACCATGGACCGTTTGGACTAGCCACTGAGCCCGTAACGGTACGACCATGGTCCTTTTGGACTAGCCACTGAGCCCGTAACGGTACGACCATGGTCCTTTTGGACTAGCCACTGAGCCCGTAACGGTACGACCATGGTCCGTTTGGACTAGCCACTGAGCCCGTAACGGTACGACCATGGTCCGTTTGGACTAGCCACTGAGCCCGTAACGGTACGACCATGGACCGTTTGGACTAGCCACTGAGCCCGTAACGGTACGACCATGGTCCTTTTGGACTAGCCACTGAGCCCGTAACGGTACGACCATGGACCGTTTGGACTAGCCACTGAGCCCGTAACGGTACGACCATGGTCCGTTTGGACTAGCCACTGAGCCCGTAACGGTACGACCATGGTCCGTTTGGACTAGCCACTGAGCCCGTAACGGTACGACCATGGACCGTTTGGACTAGCCACTGAGCCCGTAACGGTACGACCATGGTCCGTTTGGACTAGCCACTGAGCCCGTAACGGTACGACCATGGACCGTTTGGACTAGCCACTGAGCCCGTAACGGTACGACCATGGTCCGTTTGGACTAGCCACTGAGCCCGTAACGGTACGACCATGGTCCGTTTGGACTAGCCACTGAGCCCGTAACGGTACGACCATGGTCCGTTTGGACTAGCCACTGAGCCCGTAACGGTACGACCATGGTCCATTTGGACTAGCCACTGAGCCCGTAACGGTACGACCATGGACCGTTTGGACTAGCCACTGAGCCCGTAACGGTACGACCATGGTCCGTTTGGACTAGCCACTGAGCCCGTAACGGTACGACCATGGTCCGTTTGGACTAGCCACTGAGCCCGTAACGGTACGACCATGGACCGTTTGGACTAGCCACTGAGCCCGTAACGGTACGACCATGGTCCGTTTGGACTAGCCACTGAGCCCGTAACGGTACGACCATGGTCCGTTTGGACTAGCCACTGAGCCCGTAACGGTACGACCATGGTCCGTTTGGACTAGCCACTGAGCCCGTAACGGTACGACCATGGTCCTTTTGGACTAGCCACTGAGCCCGTAACGGTACGACCATGGTCCGTTTGGACTAGCCACTGAGCCCGTAACGGTACGACCATGGACCGTTGAATCATTGGCCATTACCCCACCTGTGGAGCTGTTACAGCTGGTCGTAAGTCGTGAGTTGTCGTGACCAATCCCCATCCAACACAGCTAAATATAGCACAGAACTTCTCCTGTATTGTCGCTGCTAAAAGTTAGACCAACACGAAACATCGGCCGTGCGCAGCAGGTGGCTGTCCTATCTCCTCTGACCACAGTACATCAACTGTCATTTTCTGTTCATATCCTGACCATCCTACACCCAGCAGGTATGCACAGCCGAAGTCCAAGTCTCTGTGGTGTCGTGGTTAAGAGCATTGGGTATCGAAGGGAAGAACGTCTCTGTGATGTCGTGGTTAAGAGCATTGGGTATCGAAGGGAAGAACGTCTCTGTGGTGTCGTGGTTAAGAGCATTGGGTATCGAAGGGAAGAACGTCTCTGTGGTGTCGTGGTTAAGAGCATTGGGAATTGAAGGGAAGAACGTCTCTGTGGTGTCGTGGTTAAGAGCATTGGGTATTGAAGGGAAGAACGTCTCTGTGGTGTCGTGGTTAAGAGCATTGGGTATTGAAGGGAAGAACGTCTCTGTGGTGTCGTGGTTAAGAGCATTGGGAATTGAATGGAAGAACGTCTCTGTGGTGTCGTGGTTAAGAGCATTGGGTATTGAAGGGAAGAACGTCTCTGTGGTGTCGTGGTTAAGAGCATTGGGTATTGAAGGGAAATACACTACAACTAAATAGCACCGTCTTTTGGGAGTTGTATCAGTACATCATCAACAAGACCATATGTACACAGTCTGTTGTCTGAGAGAGAGAGAGAGAGAGAGAGAGAGAGAGAGAGAGAGAGAGAGAGAGAGAGAGAGAGAAAAATGTTTACTGTTCATATTTGATAGTTTATTTCACTTTTGTTTATTGTCTATTGCACTTGCTTTGGCAATATAAACATATGTTTCCCATGCCAATAAAGCCCTTTGAATTGAGACAGAGAGAAACAAAGACTGAGATGGAGACAGAAACAGAGAGACAGACGAGACGGAGACGAGAACAGAGAGACAGACGAGACGGAGACAGAAACAGAGAGACAGACCGAGACGGAGACAGAAACAGACCGAGACGGAGAAGAGAGACAGACGGAGACAGAAACAGACCGAGACGGAGACAGAGAGACAGACGGAGACGGAGACAGAAAAAGAGAGACAGACGGAGACAGAAACAGACCGAGATGGAGACAGAGAGACAGACCGAGACGGAGACAGAAACAGAGAGACCAGACCGAGACGGAGACAGAAACAGACGGACGAACAGAGAGACAGACGGAGACAGAAACAGAGAGACAGACGAGACAGAAACAGAGAGACAGACCGAGACGGAGACAGAAACGAGGACGACGAGACGGAGACAGAAACGACGGAGACAGAGAGACGAGACGGAGACAGAAACAGAGAGACAGACCGAGACGGAGACAGAAACAGACCGAGACGGAGACAGAGAGACAGACGGAGACAGAAACAGAGAGACAGACCGAGACGGAGACAGAAACAGAGAGACAGACGGAGACAGAAACAGAGAGACAGACCGAGACGGAGACAGAAACAGACCGAGATGGAGACAGAGAGACAGACGGAGACAGAAACAGAGAGACAGACCGAGACGGAGACAGAAACAGACCGAGACGGAGACAGAGAGACAGACGGAGACAGAAACAAAGAGACAGACCGAGACGGAGACAGAAACAGAGAGACAGACCGAGACGGAGACAGAAACAGACCGAGACGGAGACAGAAACAGAGAGACAGACCGAGACGGAGACAGAAACAGAGAGACAGACCGAGACGGAGACAGAAACAGAGAGACAGACCGAGACGGAGACAGAAACAGACCGAGACGGAGACAGAGAGACAGACGGAGACGGAAACAGAGAGACAGACCGAGACGGAGACAGGCCAGTGAATTGTGGCAGTATTTAATCGTCAATTGATGCAATTTAACTTCTTAGCTAGCTGCTGTTGCTAGCAGTTGCCAGGCAACGCTGAGGTGGCTGACTGTGGTTTAAAGAGACAGAGACCTTTAAACCAAAAGCTGCAGCTGGGTCTTTGCTTACTGTCTCACTGACTCTCACATGCAGGTGTCTTTCTGTGTTTAAAGGTCTAATGGACTAATGTATACAGAGACCCTATGGTACATTTCAGGTTACACATTACATAACATTGCTTGCATTATGTATACTGTACACCATCGATTCATTGATTTTCAATAGGGAACCGAAGGAGAATATACAATGTCCGTCAGACAAACTGGACCCCTAGTAATCATAGTTACATTTCCAGATGGTGATCAGGTTATCGGGAGTGATAGGTAATCATTACACATTCTTCACATCTGCCGATCGATCAGTTCAGATAGGGGCAGATTGACCAAGCCAATACTGTGGGTCAGGAACCTATCTCACCCAAATAATCAAAACCTTGACTCTCCTCATACGCTGTGTCCCAAATGGCATGTTATTCCCTATGGCACTATGCCTATCGGCCCTGGTGAAAAGTAGTGCACTATATAGGGAATAAGGTCCCATTTGGGATGCAGTCACTGACTACAGCAATAGGCTACACAGTGACATTTCAGTGTCTCCCATGTTGGCAAATTGATCTTGACCAGTCTGTCTGGCCAATACAATCGTTGGGCTACACAGAAGGAGAGACTTCCACAAGATTGTCTTCATCAGTGTCAAGAAATGAACTCAACGAAACAAATTCTAAGTGACGGTTTCCAGAACACAGATCAAGCATAGTCCTGGACTAAAAAGCAAGCTCAATGGAGCATCTCCTTTGAAAGTGTCCGGAACACAGCAGTCAGTTTGTTTTATGAAAGCTTTATCATCAACAGGAAACATTAACTATTCATCCATGTCGTTTTAAAACACCAGTGAATATAACCGGAGGCAATGTTAAAAGACTAAAGGACCATGCTGCTGTCGCCATGTCCCTTTGTGTGTGTGTGTGTGTGCGTGTGCGTGTGTGTGTGTCAGTGTGTGTGTGTGTGTGTGTGTGTCAGTGTGTGTGTGTGTGTGTCAGTGTGTGTGTGTGTGTGTGTGTGTCAGTGTGTGTGTGTGTGTGTGTGTGTGTGTGTGTGTGCGTGTGTGTGTGTGTGTGTCAGTGTGTGTGTGTGTCCCAGCACCCCACAGGTAGATCACCTAGTCCTTCCCTGACTGCCTGGTCTGTGTTGGGAAGCTGTTATGACTCAGCTATAGCCAGAGAGTCTTATGGCCCTATTTTATTCTCAGCATCACAGATGTTATGATGGCTCTATTATTCATATATCGTTATGCCAAGTCACATTGTATATGGCAGGGGACCAAAGCAGAACTGATGCATGAATAGTAACCATATGAAATGAGTCAGCCTACTAACTGTCATATTCAAAAAAAATAATGTCCTGAAAGTTCGACAATCAGATGTGTTTGTTACACTTCAATCAAATCAAATAGAAATAGAATGGAATAGTGTCATGTTTTACTGGTATTTATTTTGTGTAAAACTACTATGTTATTCCGAAATGAAATGACGATTGTAATCAAATGCTTGTGGTTAACTCCAACTACCGCATTTATTTCAGCTTGAGTCCTTAATTAACGTACAACATGAAGATGGATCATTAGCGTATAAAACAGATCAAACACGCTTTCAGGTCGTTTTATGTCAATTCTGATTGGTTAATAGCAGGCAATAAGCTATTTTCAACAAATAATCTATTTTTCATGATATCCCGATCAGAATTACAAAGAACACATTGAAACCAGTGGCACACTGCAAGGTGTTTGGTGGACAAGTAGTTCTTTAAGACCCCTTTATTTTAAAGGCATCCAACCAACAACCTCTTACATTCATATTAATAGGTCCAATTGGCCATCCAGTTTTTTAACTGAGGGCAAATGATGCAATGTAGACCTATGATTTTTTTTTTTGGGGGGGGGGGGTAAGTGACTGTGGGACTGAGTGCTTCAGGTATAGTCTCTTAACACCTGTTGTTATAGTGAAACGACAGTCACTACACAGGTATAAGTGCAACTTCATGTGAAGTGTTATCATTTTCTGATCGTGGAGTTCTCATTTTCTGATAGTCTTTTACAGTATAATTATGAACAAATCAGAAAAAAAAATGGGTAGCCTTCAAACAGCTGTACAAAAATAATCGAGAAATAAAGATGGATTTGATTGTAACAACAGGTGTATAACAACGGGCTGCCTCCTATTAATTTTAAATTGCCGGCGCATCTTCAGTATCTTAACGACTGTCATAATATCGACATGGAAAGAAGGCTTCACTGCACAATGACACAATTAGTCACTGCGGTAGATAGATCATAGATATATAGCCGATGTGGCACTGCAATAGCCTAGGCTATCATTCACTGTGTGTTCCACATGTAGCAATCGTTCTTGTCTATAACAAAAGATTTCCATAGGATGGATTTCATTTCAATAGCTCTTCCTCATCATACTCCCTTGGCAAACTAAACTGCTGAAGCGTCAACATTCAAGGGAAACCGAGGGGAAGCAGCGACAAAAACCTGAAAAGAATTCAGAACGTAGCGTGATAAATGATGGAAATGTAAGGGATGATGACATGCGCTACATGATTGGCAGCCCGTGGATACAGTAGGATACACAATCATAACAAAACGACTGTGTATCTATTGCTCTCGCGCGCCGTGCACACAGCAAATGTATCCACAACATTACGCATTCTTCATCATGTAACACGGACATTTACAGAGATATACATTATGGAACTGATTTGCAGAAATATATCCCCAACAGTTCAACAGGGGCGTGAAACAAATGCACTTACCTCTCGTTTCACATTCCATAGTAATTTTTCTTTGAATTCTTCTGTGGACGAACCCATGACTCTCCGTGTTCTTATGTCGGTCTCTGTGACAGACGAAGTGACAGCGACAGAATCAACCTGATTGTCCGCAATCAAGGATGTCTAGTGCCTTCCGCCCTTTCTCAACGCTTCTATTTACTTTTTCCTTCCTTCCTTCCTTCCTTCCTTCCTTCGCTCCCTCTCACAGCAATGTGGTCGTGCAGCCTGACAGCTGGCAGTTGACGCATGTGTGTACCGGTGCTGCCGCGGAGCATTGAGGAGCCATCTTCAGATCCCCTCAGAATGACGCCAGCGGAGCGGGACCCGCCCCCTTTATCAATGGGGTAAATCACTTCTCATACTGTACCTCGCGCTATTATTTATAGCGCTCCTCCTCGGTGTGAGAGGGGACTGGAGGATTGGGGGGGTATTGAGGTGTGACGCTAAGCAGCATTTTGGCTGTAGTCTTTGTATTTAATATGATAGAGCCATGGGGGTTTCAAAGACAGACTGACTCACACAGAATACCAACACAGATAGGAAGACACACACACACGCAAACACACAATACTGTAACCAACACAACAGACACACAATACTGTAACCAAGACAACAGACACACAATACTGTAACCAAGACAACAGACACACAATTTCTCATTCTCTCATCTATGTTGGGCTCCATTCATGTGAGTGTGACTCAATCATTAAATTGATTAATTATATTGTCATGTAACATCGGCCAAAGCAAATAGCCCTGCTTGCATTTGTGCTTCATTCAATTATCATTACAAAACACATCACCATTATTCTGATCTATGGCATAAATTTGTCTGAGCCTATTTTGAGGCTAAGAATATCTTGAATGAAGATTATCTTGAGGGAAACGGGTCCCGTTTTAGAAATGTCATCGTACGTTAGGCTGCAGTAAAAATAAATCAATGTGGGCATTAGCATCCTGATATATATACAGAATAACCTTTTTGACTGGGACCTTTTACTGTCATTATACCTCTAACTAGCGCCCCCAAGTGGCTTGTCAATGAACTACAGCTGTCTGCCTAGAAACATGCCTGCTGCTCCCATTCACTGGTTCCAGAAACATGTCTGTTGCTTCCCTCCACTGGTTCCAGAACCATGTCTGTTGCTTCCCTCCACTGGTTCCAGAAACATGTCTGTTGCTTCCCTCCACTGGTTCCAGAACCATGTCTGTTGCTTCCCTCCACTGGTTCCAGAACCATGTCTGTTGCTTCCCTCCACTGGTTCCAGAACCATGTCTATTGCTTCCCTCCACTGGTTCCAGAACCATGTCTGTTGCTTCCCTCCACTGGTTCCAGAACCATGCCTGTTGCTTCCCTCCAATATAGACAGTGGTAATGGAGTCAGATCATATCAGATAAACTCATCCCACAGCTTGAAATGTTGTCAATAGTGCCATTGAATTGGATCCTTTTTTGGTGGCGCAACAGGTTAGTATGTTCTCAAGCAGGGCGGTCACGTGTGTTGATGAGGCAGAGGGTGCAAGATCACGTACCGGTAATGATGTTGTGAGAAAGGAAGAAATGCTCCTAAGCGGCAGTGTATCCTGTTACACAAAGACTGGGTATTCATTGTATTATTTGAAACCTTTTTATTATGGAAAACCAAGTGAAAATAAAGGAATAAAGAGTAAACTGCATTAAAACACATTAGAGGCACCCCCTTAAAAGTGTTAAGAGGAAATGTCTTGAGTGAATACTTGTTAATAAGCATGATCTGCCATTCATTAACCTGATCCCCGGGGCTACTTCACAAAGCATTAACCTGATCCCCGGGGCTACTGCACAAAGCATTAACCTGATCCCCGGGGCTACTGCACAAAGCATTAACCTGATCCCCGGGGCTACTGCACAAAGCATTAACCTGATCCCCGGGGCTACTGCACAAAGCACTGGGCCGAAGTATCTGGGAACGAGAATAGCCATTTATAGACATCGCTGAATGTGTCCCTCAAGTTAATTTCATTAAAAAGTATTTGGCATGTCAAAATGTGATATGAGACACTCTCAAAACTCTCATTATACACTAAAAAACATTCACGGTCTTCCCTGTCTATTCACAGAAGGCGATAGGGCTACGACAGTTGATTTTGATTGCTTGTCATAAATCTGCTCGTCCTAGAACTTGTCACAACTCCAAAAAAAAGTTGATAGCTGTATAATAAATGTACATATACCCATCTATAACAGCCTCAGAACAGCCTGAACTCGTCGGGAGCATGGACTCTACAAGGAGTCGAAAGCGTTCCACGGCGATGCTGGCCCATGTTGACTCCAATGCCATTAGTGGTTTGAGACCTATCTGATACGTGATTGGCTGCTGCAGTGATAGTATGTGTGCGTCTCTAATGAGCCCTGGTTAAAAGTAGTGCACAATACAGGAAATAGGGTGCCATGAAGGACACAGCCTATATTCATTGAATAAAGCTCATGTTGGAATATATATTTTTAATTGTTCTATTATGGATCGATGGCATAACATGAAGGTTGCAATTGTGATTGTGAAGAAGAGAGTTCTATATCATTCAAGGAGAAATAGCATAAGCATCTCAATGTTTTAAATCACAAGTTTTCCATCGACAAAGTCTGTCAGGCACCAGGGTGATGCAGCATGGTAGCCATTTTGGGGCCAACAACACCAGTGCTTCAGCGGTGGGTGTAGTGATTAAGTGAAGAGCCAGCGGGGAGCCAGTTTCCTCCTCTGTGGTTAGATGGGACACATCCTTAAGGCGTCAGCATGCTTCGGTTCGGCTGGCGCCTAGCCGTAGGCGAACAAGGGTGCTCGCATACTCTCTTGGAAAAAAAGTGGCAATAGTACTGTTTGTCCATATTGAGACGCCGTATCCAGAATACACTTCCTCAAAATAGTCAGAATTAATCTAAGATAATTTAAGAAATCTGTCCTAAATGTAGACGTTTTTAGTCGCGCAATTTTACATCTAACTAAGATGTTTGGTGTTTCTCAATGAAACGCTGTGCATGAAAACAAGTTGTCTCTGGTTGAATAACAACAAATACTTTATTGAAGAATCCCTACTGTTGACCAATCACAGACGAAGGGGCGTAGACTTCGGCTACAGATGTCAGCTTGCCTCAATAATTTTTTGGGTGTGCACGAACATCTGAAAAACCCCTTGAAGAAGAGCAAAATTAACTAAAACTTCACAAAATGTCGTCATAATATATAAACAAACTGTTCCGAACAGTTTTGATTTGGGAAACATGCGGACGCCTTTAGTGTCCCAGCGGCCGGTCAGCAGGGAGCCGGTTTCCTCCTCTGTGGTTAGATGGTACCCTTTCCCATACATTATACTGAGTGGCGCAGTGGTCTAAGGCAGTGCTAACTGTGCCACTAGAGATCCTGGTTCGAATCCAGGCTCTGTCGCAGCCGGCCGCGACCGGGAGACTCATGGGCGGCGCACAATTGGCCCAGCGTCGTCCAGGGTAGGGGAGGGAATGGCCGGCAGGGATGTAGCTCAATTGATAGAGCATGGCGTTTGCAACGGCAGGGTTGTGGGTTCGATTCCCACGGAGGGCCAGTATAAAAAAATATGTATTCGCTGACTGTAAGTCGCTCTGGATAAGAGCGTCTGCTAAATGACTAAAAATGTACTTTTGACCAGAGCCCTATGGGCATAGGGAGCCTTCACCCACTCTCACCAAGGGCTGTAGCAGTAAATGGATCTGATGGGTTTGATGAACCATCTGACCATTTTGAGTCTCTCACTTGAGAGGTGACTGACAGGGAGATGAGGGTTCGAATGGTAGTGCACTTCATAGGGTGTCTCTTTAGTTTCCTCCTCTGTGGTTAGACAGCAGGGAGCCAGTTTCCTCCTCTGTGGTTAGACAGCAGGGAGCCAGTTTCCTCCTCTGTGGTTAGACAGCAGGGAGCCAGTTTCCTCCTCTGTGGTTAGACAGCAGGGAGCCAGTTTCCTCCTCTGTGGTTAGACAGCAGGGAGCCAGTTTCCTCCTCTGTGGTTAGACAGCAGGGAGCCAGTTTCCTCCTCTGTGGTTAGACAGGCTTCGTCAAAACGACACTGTATTCTCTACATAGTGCACTACATTTGACCAGAGCCATATGGGGCCCCGATTTCCTAATAAAATCCCTATTGGCCTGTGTCAAAAGTAGTACACCATATAGAGAATAGGGTGTCATCCCAGCGGCCGGTCGTCGTAGGCGCTGTACCTCTTGACGTGGATACGGCGCACGCGCTCCCTAAGGTCCACCCCCCCCCCCCGAGTGGGTGGGGCCTTCCTCCTCCTCACTGTGGGAACCACAGTGGGCGTGGCTGTGGGCGTGGCTGTGGGCGTGTGGCCTCCAATAGGGCGTCGTCAGGGACAGGAAGTGTCTCGTATAGCAGAGCGTTCAGGGTCTCCTCGTAGATCCTGGCCTCTGGGAACTCCACCTGGGATAGAGACGGACGGACGGACGGACGGACGGACGGGGTCAACATGAAGATTTGCTGCAGTGCAGTAGTAGCGGGTCGGTGTCAGCAACGATGGACTGCCATGAACAAATGGGTGTGTGTGTGTGAGTGTGAGTGTGTGTGTGAGTGTGTGTGTGTGTGTGAGTGTGAGTGTGAGTGTGTGAGTGTGAGTGTGTGTGAGTGTGAGTAAAACCCCTAACCAACCTCGGTCTGTTTTTTTTTTTTTTTTTCTCTGTGGCGTAGACTATGGATGTGCAGCAGACCTCCGCCAGCTTGCGTCCCTGTCTGTCCGTAGAACGACCAGCAGCAGATCTCGTCACCGATCACGTCCTTGATGAAGAGAACACGGCCATTGTAGCTCAAGAGACAGCTTGTCAAAAAAGCTCAATATTCTTCAACAGGTTGTCGTCTGAGTTACTGTGGAGGAATGCAACCCATGGATCAGGAGGTACACATAAGTATTTCATTGTCAACACAGAGTACATGATGAGTACTTGACATTAGAGGCCCTCACTGAGCACTTACCAACAGTCATTAACTATTATTGACTCTCCAAACAACAGAACAGGCATAGGGTTCACTAGACTTGTAGTATCTTACCTGGTATAGGAGTACTTGTTGTTACTTCCTGTTGTACAGCAGCTTCACTACAGGCTTGGTGCAGGCCTGGATCAGTCTCTCCTCCTCCTTGGCAGAGGTGACCACAGGGATTACACACAGAGACTGCTCCTTCTGGTCCTGTTAATCAAACACACCACAGGGATTACACACAGAGACTGCTCCTTCTGGTCCTGTTAATCAAACACACCACAGGGATTACACACAGAGACTGCTCCTTCTGGTCCTGTTAATCAAACACACCACAGGGATTACACACAGAGACTGCTCCTTCTGGTCCTGTTAATCAAACACACCACAAGGATTACACACAGAGACTGCTCCTTCTGGTCCTGTTAATCAAACACACCACAGGGATTACACACAGAGACTGCTCCTTCTGGTCCTGTTAATCAAACACACCACAGGCAGGCTGGTATAGTACATAACAGACACCACGGGCAGGCAGGTATAGTACATAGAGAGAAAGAGGTCCAGGACCAGTCTAAACAATGCCTGGTTCCACTCTCACTGGCTCTGTGCTGCTGAACAATACAAAGGCTCTGTGTCAGGACATACAGTGGGGAAAAAAAGTATTTAGTCAGCCACCAATTGTGCAAGTTCTCCCACTTAAAAAGATGAGAGAGGCCTGTAATTTTCATCATAGGTACACGTCAACTATGACAGACAAATTGAGAAAATCACATTGTAGGATTTTTAATGAATTTATTTGCAAATTATGGTGGAAAATAAGTATTTGGTCACCTACAAACAAGCAAGATTTCTGGCTCTCACAGACCTGTAACTTCTTATTTAAGAGGCTCCTCTGTCCTCCACTCGTTACCTGTATTAATGGCACCTGTTTGAACTTGTTATCAGTATAAAAGACACCTGTCCACAACCTCAAACAGTCACACTCCAAACTCCACTATGGCCAAGACCAAAGAGCTGTCAAAGGACACCAGAAACAAAATTGTAGACCTGCACCAGGCTGGGAAGACTGAATCTGCAATAGGTAAGCAGCTTGGTTTGAAGAAATCAACTGTGGGAGCAATTATTAGGAAATGGAAGACATACAAGACCACTGATAATCTCCCTCGATCTGAGGCTCCACGCAAAATCTCACCCGTGGGGTCAAAATGATCACAAGAACGGTGAGCAAAAATCCCAGAACCACACGGGGGGACCTAGTGAATGACCTGCAGAGAGCTGGGACCAAAGTAACAAAGCCTACCATCAGTAACACACTACGCCGCCAGGGACTCAAATCCTGCAGTGCCAGACGTGTCCCCCTGCTTAAGCCAGTACATGTCCAGGCCCGTCTGAAGTTTGCCAGAGTGCATTTGGATGATCCAGAAGAGGATTGGGAGAATGTCATATGGTCAGATGAAACCAAAATAGAACTTTTTGGTAAAAACTCAACTCGTCATGTTTGGAGGACAAAGAATGCTGAGTTGCATCCAAAGAACACCATACCTACTGTGAAGCATGGTGGTGGAAACATCATGCTAAAATAGATTTCATTGGATTTCAATAGATTTCATTGGCTGTTTTTCTGCAAAGGGACCAGGACGACTGATCCGTGTAAAGGAAAGAAAGAAAGGGCCATGTATCGTGAGATTTTGAGTGAAAACCTCCTTCCATCAGCAAGGGCATTGAAGATGAAACGTGGCTGGGTCTTTCAGCATGACAATGATCCCAAACACACCGCCCGGGCAACGAAGGAGTGGCTTCGTAAGAAGCATTTCAAGGTCCTGGAGTGGCCTAGCCAGTCTCCAGATCTCAACCCCATAGAAAATCTTTGGAGGGAGTTGAAAGTCTGTGTTGCCCAGCGACAGCCCCAAAACATCACTGCTCTAGAGGAGATCTGCATGGAGGAATGGGCCAAAATACCAGCAACAGTGTGTGAAAACCTTGTGAAGACTTACAGAAAACGTTTGACCTGTGTCATTGCCAACAAAGGGTATATAACAAAGTATTGAGAAACTTTTGTTATTGACCAAATACTTATTTTCCACCATAATTTGCAAATAAATTCATTAAAAATCCTACAATGTGATTTTCTGGATTTTTTTTTCTCATTTTGTCTGTCATAGTTGACATGTACCTACGATGAAAATTACAGGCCTCTCATCTTTTTAAGTGGGAGAACTTGCACAATTGGTGGCTGACTAAATACTTTTTTCCCCACTGTATATGAAGGCTCAGCTAAATTCCATTTGAACAACTCAGTCAGGTCAGGAGGTGACTTTGTTGATCGAAGCATGCTCACAGAATTTAAATGGACTGGAACTGAACCCTCACCCCTGACATAGAAGAGTGTAAAGATTATGTTGAAACTTGTATTCACTAAACTCTACCACAAGTGTAGTGTATTACATCAAACATTGTAAAAACGATCTCTGAGGTTGAGTGAATCTCTTATAATGCTTTATCATTTCATGTTTAAGACTTGCTCAAAGATGTATTAATATAAGAAGTATATTCCAATCTGAAAATGATGGACTCCACTTCATTCATAAACCCGTTTAATGACATCCACTTTCTGTCATAAAAAAAAGAAGAAAAAAGAGGACATGACATGAATGAAAGCCAGAGCGGTTTTTAATTCAACGTGGTATTGATTCAGTACTCCTCAGCATAGATGTGCTAGAGGCCAATGGAACAAAGACCGTAGGGTATAGAAAGACGCCGGATTGGAGCACATTCAACACATTCAATCAAAGTGGATATTCGTCAAATCCGTCATGATTGATGTATTGTAACAGGCCCACAATGTGGTAACTAAAGTCTGATTTGTCTGTTTCCACTTTTCAGGTTTAGAAAAAGTGACTGCTAAATGCTAACTCCTGTTCGTGTAAACTGGTAGCTTAGCAAGCATACAGAAATCGGTGGTGGTAGTCAGTCGTTCTTAACTGTAATGCCGTTGATTGGTGACGATGGCATGTATTGTGGTTGACATCCATACAAGCATTACCTACCGATGTTTACCTCAACATAGTGTATTTCTCCCATAAGATCTTTCCCCCCCCCCCATGCGTTTCCATGGCATTTCCATTGTTTTGGTCGGGTTCGATTGATCTCTTTACCGCATGTATCGTTGCCCACGGTTACCATGGAGACAGCAGAATCTCCCCAGTATAACCTTGGCTAGTCCAAATACTGAATGCCAGGCATTCCAATGAACATCTATCACACTGACACAGGCTGCATGCTACATGGCACCCCATGAGGCGGCAGGTAGCCTAGCGGTTAAGAGCGTTGGGCCAGTAACCGAAAGGTCGCTGGTTCGAATCCCCGAGCCAACAAGGTGGATATATCCACTGTTCTGCCCTTGAGCAGTTAACCTCCAACAACAACTGCTCCCCGGGCGCCAATTATGTCGACATTGATTAAGGCAGCCCCCACACCTCACATTTCGGTTGAATGCATTCAGTTGTGCAACTGTCTAGGTATCCCCCTTTGCACTAGGGGCCCAGGTAAAAAGTATTGCACTACATAGGGAATAGGGTGCCATTTCAGACACATTATACTCACTGCCACTATGGTTGTAACAGTCATGGAATTTTGGATGGTGATTGGCCAGCCAAATTACTGCGGTCCTCATAATAAATATATGCATATTATTTTTATTGTATTTTTTTGAGACGCACATTTTCTCCTCTCCTGACTGCATGTGCTGCCATAGAAATAGAACGAATAGAACAAGTGTCTACATTCAAGTCAATGACGGCATAATGGGTGGACATTGCCAGTGTACTCATAGGAGCAAAACAGGAAGTAAAATATGTGCTAAAATATGTACAGTGATTTGTTGATTCAACTCAACTGACATTACAAAAAATACCTTCCATTGCATGAGCCACATCAGTTAACATAATTTGAATGAACATTCTACATTACCATGGAAATTATTGCATCACAATATCAGGCAGCCATTGCAAGTGTACCCATGAGTTAACCAGTCAAATTGCCAGGGTTAGAGGTTCCAAGCCCCTTCTATTCATTCTATGTGTGTTGCTGCTGCATTGTGTGTGTGGGGGGGGGTGTTGCCTAGGCAACCAAAGACTTGTTTGCTTGTTTCAGCCAGGAGCAACAAAGTTTCATTACGATGTTAATAGTCCATGTTACGGCTGAAACGGACTCAATCGCCCAAATCCCCGGCAGTCCAGTCTTCAGTCAGCTGTTCGTTCCACAAACAAACATCTTTTTTTTTTTTTACAGTTATGACGGTGATTTTATTTTCATGACGGTCTTCATCCATAATCGTCAGTTTTATAACGGTAATTGTGCCAGCCCTAACTGGCACATATGGTAAACAAACAGTATTGTTGTCCTACAGCCACTTACAGAGTAGACACACTGGTCCAAAGCAAGTCAAAGATCACAACATGAGGAAGCAATCTGTGGAGCGTAAGTCATGTTCAAGTCGGCATGGCCAAGACGACAGCAAACAAACACGCATTACATTCCTGTACAGTCTGTTGCCTTCATGCACAGATCTAGGATCTAGCAAAGCTACAAGTTGGATCAGTAGTGAGGGCAACACACTCCTATGCATAGCCTGCAATCCAAATGGCACCCAAATTCCCTACGTAGTGCACTGCTTTCATCCACAGTCCTATGGGCCTTGGTCAAAAGTAGTGCACTATTATAGGGAATATGGTGCCATTTGGGACACGCCTCTCTCTGTGTCACTGACCTGCAGGCCTCCCTGGCACAGCTCCATCAGACCCTGGATCAGGTAATACTTGGCCTCTGCCAGCAGCTCTAGAGCCCCCCTGCCTGCCAGGTGACCGCTTCCTCCCGCAGGTACGTCAGGATGGAGCCAAAGTGCTTCCCACTACGATCTATCAGGATCCAGCCTGGACAGGACCATGCAAGGCAAGTAAAGGCAACGGTCAGTTCCGGTCAGATTTTTTAGAGTAGCGTAGTTCCATTTATCTGTTTGATGATGTGCCTGCCATAAGGCCTGTACATCTACATCTAAATGGTATTTGTAATCATTGCTGATGTTTGTTGCTTTAGCCATCTGCTCCATTTCCGAAGTCTGTATTAGACTAAGTAGAGTTTCATCTATGTTTCTGATCCATAAGAGTGACTGTGAGACTTTCTGGAAGTCTCCAAAGTCCTTCTCACCCTCTCTGTCAATGAAGACCTCCTTCCTGCCACTGAACATGGCCTTCAGCACGGAGTCCTGCCTGGTGAGCACCTGCAGCGTGGTGTAGAACAGGGTCCCCCCTACATTCAGACGCACATACTTGTTACCCAGGCCCACCGCCGCTCTGTAGCTGCAGGTCTTGGGACACGCCATCTGGGAGGCTGTGGGGGGGAATAGAATCAAACTTGTCTATTCAAGGATGAAAATGTCTATTTGGCATCACCATATAAGAATTTTAAAGATTGCATACACTTACACATCATTCACATTATAAACAGTCAGCCCAGCACACTGTATAGCCTACATAAACACATAGAGGATATTGGCACATTCATTCATAACTGACCGCTGCCCTCATTGCCCCACCGTTCCATGTATACCTTCATGGGAAAGTCTAATGGCTTGGGAGCCAGTGGAGGTGACCTGGGTCTGGGGGGTGGAGGACATAGTCGGTGCTGGGGGAGCTGGCAGCTGTCCCCGGACATGTCCCTCTGAAGGTAGACGACCACCCTGCAGATGGAGGTCCTGATGCCCCCCGCCGTGGTGACAGCTACTGGGGGGGACCGCCACAGCCTTTCACCGGCCCTGCAGATCATACCTGGTGGAGGGGATCAATAAAAAAAAGCACAGCAAAAACCTCAAACCCCTGGCCTGTGCTGAGATGACAGACTAACAAGATCACAGTCGGGACAATGTCCTTCTGAAATCTGAAACCTTGATTTATAGTCATTGACTTAAATTAGAGGGGTGTTGCTCTGGCCAATGCGGTCATACTTAAAACACCAGTAGTCGAGAACATTGTGAACACAATGGAGAGAGGAAGCCACCCACCCAATCAGTATCTTCTCGATTTCCCTTTCCCCTAGCATGGAATTTAGCTGGGCCCACTACGCTGTGTCCATCTTCATACAAAAAACAAACTGCCTTATTTGGGAGAATGTCCCCAAAAACGTTGCATACCAGAGGAAGACAGTCTGTCTCTGGGGAACTTTGATTCCGATGGGTGCAGTAGTGTCATTCAAACCAGCAGAGGACGTTATGTATTGTGATATGAAAAATGTATGCACTCACTAACTGTAAGTCGCTCTGGATAAGAGCGTCTGCTAAATGACTAAAATGTAAATGATATCAATACATTTCACATATAGCTACTCCCATGAAACTGTCATGGCATAAATCCTAACATGTAGCAAAATGTGTGACTACTAAAATAGGCCTAAAACGTATGTACATATAATTATGAGATAAAGCTAACTAACTAGCAACATAGGATTGAGTCACAAATGGTAGTTCAGCTAGAGCTAGAAACTAGTTAACTAGTTGTGTTGGCTTGCTAACTAACTACTGGCTAACTTACTGTTGTTAGCCAGCTATTATTATATGTCAACTATCAATTCAAGATCATTGAGACGAACTTGAATGACGTAGTCCTACTAGTGTATAATAATTAGCTAACTTGCTTTTCTCCTTGCCACCCCGGAAAAAAATGCTAGCTAACAGTTAGCTAACTTTTTAGATACTCACCCACACCGTCTTTCTCTTGGGATAATTAGTTTGTTGAACAGGTGATCGTTAGTACATTAAAAGCTATGTTATGTACGCCACCTACAATTGTCAATATTTACAAGGCAACGACGTGAAATAACTTTCCCAACTACAGAAAAGTTTGCTACTACAACTCCCACCCACCTCCTTACCGGAAGTTACATGCCTTGGCCAAACACAACTGTTTCCCTCGCAGCCGAAGTGCCCTGTGGATTATGCCACATAATCACAACATTGAAATCAAATTTAAATACATTTAAAAGGTAAGTGAGTGAATGACTGACTTGAAGAGCTCTCACTTGTAGACAATAATGATTTGACTTTTGCACAGCTTGTAACCAGCAACTCACGCTAAAATACCTAGTCAGCTAGCTAAAACAGTTAGTTAATGCTTTCTAGCTAGCCATGTTACTGGCTGTTGCTAACCTCTTGCCCTCCACTATTAGCTAGTTTGTCCAGAACATGACAGTCCGATTAGGGCATCAGGACAAGCTGTGAGATAGACAACAAGCTAATTAGCTATCTAGATAGCTAGCAGGCTAGGTAAGTAGCAAAGATGTTTATATCTGTGTAAGTAGTTAGTGAGAGACCTTCTGGTTGTAAATTGTAGCTAACGTTAGCTAGCTATAGAGAACATTGCCAAAGAAGCAGCTGGCTAGCGCAGATTAAAGGCTATTGCATGTGTGCCAACAACTAATTATGTCATAGCTAGCTAGTGATTAGTCAAAGGTCACAGAATCAAATTGTATGTATTTTTTTGTTAGTGTAAACAATATTTTCCTAACTAACGTTATCCATGTCTGTCACAATACTAGACTGCATTCTCTCTTCTTTTCACTTAATAATATAATATGCCATTTAGCAGACGCTTTTATCCAAAGCGATTTACAGTCATGCGTGCATACATTTTTTGTGTACGGGTGGTCCCGGGGATCGAACCCACTACCTTGGCATTACAAGCACCGTGCTCTACCAGCTGAGCTACAGAGGATCACCCACATCGCCTACTCACCAAGTTTACTAATGTAGCAACGGTCATCAACATTGTTAAAAAACAATTATAATAAATGTAACAGTTGGACAATGGAGGAAGATACTCCAAACTTTTTGAATTTTTATAATCCATCCGATATTGCCTGAATCATAGAACATAACACATTTTACTGGCATGGACAAATAATGGAGTTGAGGGATTTTGGTGGGAATTTACAAATACATGACAAAGTATAGAACAGTTATAGACATAAGATATTACATTAAATTCAAAAATAAATTGGGAGTTATATTGGAAAGACACCAAGAGATGATGACAAATATTTACACACTATTCATATTTACATATTCATATTCTTATATACAGCACAGTTAAATTAGATGTATAGAAAGAGAAGAGGCACAGTGATACAATATGTTTTTGTATCTGTTTTTTAAACCTAAACGTGCTTTTTGGCTGAGTAACCTCTGGTGGCAGAGGTTACTGGCTCTATACATAACTGAGCGACGCACTAAATCGGTTTTTGGTTGTCACGTTCTGTTGCATAATTCAACAAGTGTGTCAACAGCAGTATACCTACCCTCAGATTAAAAATCAAAACGCTTGGCTCTAGATTACACCTGTCTAAACATACTTTTGTGCGCAAGATCAGACATATCACTATAATCCGAGTGTACATTTTCGGAAGTTGCTTTAATTTCAGAGCATTTAATTTGTAAACATTTCAACACTATTAAATTATAACTTTTTTCAATTCCACAAAAGATGTACACCTATCAAAATAAAGTGATCTTTCTTGTGATGTAAAATGCTGACCACACCGCTCGCGTTACAAAATAACATGTATGTGTACATTTACGTAACGCGAGCGGTGTGGTCAGCAAGTTAGCATTGTTATAGATGCAACGGAAAGACAATGTATTCCATTGAGGCCATTTCAGCCATTACCGGGGTGTGTTTGACAGGTCATTAGAAACATTTCCGCGGTCGTAAAGTTAACGGGAAAAAACGACAGGCACAAGCAAGATTATTAAAGAGTCGCAGGAGTAAAATGAAAGCAATCAATCCAGCGAGATGTAAGTGCCAAGTGGATTTTGCACCCCTCAAACACAGGAAATAGATGGCTGAAAAAGACAGATCCTCAGGTGGGCGGGGCATGCATGTTGCTATACTAATGTGACAGACAATGCCCAAAGTAATACAAATCCACAAGTTGTCTCTCACCTATCCCGCCCTTTTAGATCTATGCAGATGAGCGAGAGAGGAGGAAAATAAGTCACTTTAGACTATTGAGATGCTGGTTAAATAAAACATTTTTTAAAAGCATCCATATATCCACGGTATCTCATGGTATTAATGTTGTGTTTTTCAGCCCCCCATCTATAACCCAGCTCTTGGGACAGGCCTTGTGGCCATGGCGAAAGACCCGTTGGGTGAAGCTGGCCTTCATTTTGATGAACTCAACAAGCTGCGGGTGCTGGAGCCAGAGGTGGGCCAGAAGACCACGGAGCTCAAGGAGGAGTGCAAAGACTTTGTTGACAGTAAGAACATTCCATTATCTTCTGTTCTGTGTCCCAAATGGCACCATATTCCCTATATATAGTGGGCCCTGGGCAAATGTAGTGCACTACATAGGGAATAGTGTGCCATTTGGGACACTACACTTGGTGTTAAGTGCCATTACTTTCATAGAATATTGTGCAGATCAGTGGAGAGGTCCACTCGCACATCTGTTCTTAATGTTAAAACTGTGTTCTTCAAATGTTGTTGACACCTAATTACCGAATAGTGTTTTACTAACTTTCGTGCGTTCATTCAATACACAGAAATCGGCCAGTTTCAGAAGGTAGTGGGTGGTCTCATCGAGCTGGTGGATGAATTGGCAAAAGAGGCAGAGACGGAGAAGATGAAGGTAAGGGTCTGCATTGGCTCTTTTAAGAGTTGTGAGTTTCTTAGTCCATCTTTACAGGACTCAGACACACACAGATGCAATACTTTTTGTTCAACTCATTCAAAGTCAATTGTTTTCAATCAACGTGTCAGTCAGATCAAAGTGACCGCTGGCTCTACAATCTGCCTGTCTGCAAGCAATCTCAGGTTGAAAACAAAACAGTGGACTTTGACTGCTAGCTAGCTAGGCCACTGAGTACACTTGCTGCACTTTTCTGTGGGAACGACCGAGGCCTTGTTATCTGGGTGAACAACATGCTGCTGCACTGCCTCCTTCTCCCAGGCTATTGGAGCCAGGAACCTGTTGAAGTCTGTGGCCAAGCAGAGGGAGGCCCAGCAACAGCAGCTCCATGCCCTGATAGCAGAGAAGACGATGCAGCTGGAGAGGTAAGAAGACTGAAGCCTGGTCCCAGATCTGATCTCACTAGCCTGGTCCCAGATCTGATCTCACTAGCCTGGTCCCAGGTCTGATCTCACTAGCCTGGTCCCAGATCTGATCTCACTAGCCTGGTCCCAGATCTGATCTCACTAGCCTGGTCCCAGGTCTGATCTCACTAGCCTGGTCCCAGGTCTGATCTCACTAGCCTGGTCCCAGGTCTGATCTCACTAGCCTGGTCCCAGGTCTGATCTCACTAGCCTGGTCCCAGATCTGATCTCACTAGCCTGGTCCCAGATCTGATCTCACTAGCCTGGTCCCAGATCTGATCTCACTAGCCTGGTCCCAGGTCTGATCTCACTAGCCTGGTCCCAGGTCTGATCTCACTAGCCTGGTCCCAGGTCTGATCTCACTAGCCTGGTCCCAGATCTGATCTCACTAGCCTGGTCCCAGGTCTGATCTCACTAGCCTGGTCCCAGATCTGTTTGTGCTTTTGCTCACTCCATTGTCAAGCCACACATGTTTGGAAGGACAATTCCATATGGAGTTGGCAAGAGACTAGAAACAGACTGTTATCCAGGCTATATTAAAGAGACCAGAAACAGACTGTTACCCAGGCTATATTAAAGAGACCAGAAACAGACTGGTACCCAGGCTATATTAAAGAGACCAGAAACAGACTGGTACCCAGGCTATATTAAAGAGACTAGAAACAGACTGGTACCCAGGCTATATTAAAGAGACTAGAAACAGACTGGCACCCATGCTATATTAAAGAGACTAGAAACAGACTGGTACCCAGGCTATATTAAAGAGACCAGAAACAGACTGGTACCCAGGCTATATTAAAGAGACCAGAAACAGACTGGTATCCAGGCTATATTAAAGAGACCAGAAACAGACTGGTACCCAGGCTATATTAAAGAGACCAGAAACAGACTGGTACCCAGGCTATATTAAAGAGACCAGAAACAGACTGGTACCCAGGCTATATTAAAGAGACTAGAAACAGACTGGTACCCAGGCTATATTAAAGAGACTAGAAACAGACTGGCACCCATGCTATATTAAAGAGACTAGAAACAGACTGGTACCCAGGCTATATTAAAGAGACCAGAAACAGACTGGTACCCAGGCTATATTAAAGAGACCAGAAACAGACTGGTACCCAGGCTATATTAAAGAGACCAGAAACAGACTGGTACCCAGGCTATATTAAAGAGACCAGAAACAGACTGGTACCCAGGCTATATTAAAGAGACCAGAAACAGACTGGTACCCAGGCTATATTAAAGAGACCAGAAACAGACTGGCTCCCAGGCTAAGAAGACTGTTTGTCTTATTCAATCTTGTTCTGAAGACAGCTGTGCCTCAAGGGCAGAAACGAACGTGATTGGTGAAATTTATTTGGCAAGAAATGTAAGACTGAGGTCAAGTCTCCTTGTGAAATCAATAACAATGGGGAAATATATTGTTAGTGTCTCGTTCTCAGGGGTTGACATTATAGTCAGTCAGTTAGTTAATTAGTCAGTCAGTCCCTGGGGTTTAATGAAGTTTGTCTTTGTTTGTAATCTATTCCAGGTATCGCATCGAGTATGAAGCTCTCTCCAAAGTGGAGGCTGAGCAGAATGAGTTCATTGAACAGTTCATTCTGCAGAAATAAGGGGTGCGTCGAAGGCCCAAAATGTGTGCGTGTCTGTGTGTGTCTGTGTGTGTTTGTGACCATGTTTCCAGGGTGCCTGAATTGTTTTCTATGGGTGATATCCACTACGCTATGGGTTAACGGGAATCGCTCATCTGAACACAACCTCTCTTACGACCTCACAAGCAATCCAAAACTGCTCCAACTAAAACACAGGTGTTACCGTGACAGCAACAGACAGACCACATGCAAAGTTAAAGTAGCTTCTCACTCTTAGGCTTCTAGAACACCATAACATGTTCCTCACTAGCAGGTGTCAACCCTCCTCCCCCAGTTATCCATTTTTAGCATTTAAGTGTTGAATGCTTGAAATATAATTAAAACCTGAGGCTCTATGGGCGTCACGCCTTTCACAACACTACAGTATATCAGACAAGCAAATGGGGAAGAAAGCTATTTATATATACCAAGGAATTTATTTATACTATTTAATACCGAATAATTACTCTGTATAGATAGTTTTATTACCTTTTCTACAAGTAGAAAACAAAGTACAGTATGTGCATGTTACTGTAAATAATTTCATGATTTCCCCCCCAATTATATATATATTTTTTTTGCTGTGTGTCGTCTGTTTACATCTGAGGTAGGAATATGTTCATGGTTTTATAATTTCACCATTGTCTGTGGGACCACACCAAAACATTTGCCCTCAGGTGGCTTATTGGAATTTCAGGCCAGTGTATAAATAAACAGTAAAGTACATTTGAAAGGTATATTAATTATTTTATGTTTACAGTATATATCAAGAAATTATCAAATGTTCTCATACTCTGCATTCATCTTATCCATGTTAAAAGTTAGTAAACCAGCTTAGTGGACCAACTTCATCAAAAGATGAGGTATACTTGAATAAAAAGGATTTGCACATATTTTGATTCTCTTGGTGTCAACATTCTTGACTATTGCTAACCATGATATTTTCTCGACTTTAAATATACGAATTGACAATTGATCACAAAAATTACTATGAAAATTAGTAGTGTAGTCTAGACTAGAGGTATGATTACCTGGATGTCTAGGCAGCCGGGTCACAGCTTGAGATTCAGAATGTACAGGTGGATTAGTAGCCTGAGTGCCAATCTGTTTGTGCCATCATGCCAACTCCTTGTCACTTGTAATGTTTGGTTTGACAAGGACAGCAATGGAGTTGGACAATAGCACAAACAGAATGGCACTCAGGCTAGAAATAGATGAGTGTCTCATTTGATCTTCTTGGCCTTAGCTGAGCCCTTTCCTCCCTGAGTGTTGGTGTTGTAAGCTGAGCCCTTTCCTCCCTGAGTGTTGGTGTTGTAAGCTGAGCTGAACAGCATGGTGAACAGCAGCATCAGAGGAACCAGGAGGTACGGAGCGTAGATGACTGCAAGGGTGTAGCGTTCCTTCTGGGTCTGGGGGCCAGGGTGGGGCTCCGTGGGGAAGGGGTAGTAGAGGATGTGGGCTAGGATGGGGACCAGGGTGGTGGCTACGTGGGTGGAATAGACAATGGCCGGAGTCCTGATCCACTTGCAGCCTCCTGGAAGAGATGATGGTTGATGGAACAGAATTAGGTTGATTTCCTCACGTTATGACAGGCTTACCTGCCTTGTCGTCATGTCTGATTTATGACAACGTCTACGTCTCAAATGGCGCACTATTCCCTATTTAGTGCACTACTTTTAAACAGGGCCCATAGGACTCTGGACAAAAGTAGTGCAACATAGAGAATAGGGCGCCATTTGGGATACACACAGATACTGATAAAGGGGTGTTAAAAGAATGGGCATCCACTAGAGGTCACACTTGAGTTACTTATGACTAAATTACTATCTACAGCGTGCCAAATCAAAGGTCTTCTTGCACCATGGGCTTCATTTTGTAATTCCAAATACCACAGATTTTTACATTAGTTTGCTAGCCCATATGGGGCCATACCAAATGACTCCCTATGTAGTGCAGTACTTTTGACCTCTCTCATCAAAAGTACTGCACTAAAGGGAAATGGGTGCCATTTGGGACGTATCCCATGTTATCTGACCTTTGAGGAAGGCATATGCAGCTATGGGGAAGAAAGGGATTTGGACCAGGGCCTCGCAGAAGATGAAGGACTTGAACCAGGTGGGGGGATCCAGCATCATGGGGTCTCTGAACTCAGCCCCATACCATCTCAAAAGATCTTTCAGCTGTTGAAAAAAAAAAATATATATATATCAACACAATATATTTGTAAACACTCAATGTTGCATCACTATAGGCACATTGGGTGTTAAAAGGGATTTTCAACATCCCCAAAAATAATACGGTGATATGATGCAGTCACCGTTACTTCATCCACTACCAACTTTCCTTCATGGACCTACTACTACACACTAGTCAATTAAACAGGTCAAACTTACCTGCTGAGGATACAGCTGTGCAGGAAGCAACGCTTGAAGATCAATGAATAATGTAATAGGAATGTGAGAAGCAAAATAAAAGAAAAATATAATCTCTAATATACGAAGAACACCCATATTGTATCAAAGGAAAGATACACCAAAAATATATACAGCTATCTAAACTTTAACTTAGATATTAGCGAGAGCGCACGCAAACGTGACAGCGTTGAATAGAAAAGAGGGGTTAGGCTAGTGACGTGGCAATGCATGTCGGATGGTTCGATTCTATTGGCCCTTTTGCTTGGTTGATCTAGCTGAGGGGCGGTACTGAATCTGTAGGCTCTGTTCAAACATTTTAAACATGCAGCAACCTTCCTTCCTCGACTAGTGATTACTTCAAGCCTAGGGAGGTAGATAAATATAATGAAACTAGGCTCTATAGTATTAAATTACACGTCATTTTAGCGCGACACAGGCAGCCAGCATTGTTGACATTGTAACGGGACGGTTAGTTGCGCTAGTGTTTTGTTGAAATATGCCCGAAGCTGCAAAACCATCTTTAGATGCCACCTCTGCGACCAGAACCTAAGGATATTCGGTGCTCTCCAAATGTGCGTTCGCTTGTGTCAACGTCGGATTGTACCATTCTGACTAGGGGTGCGTTCGTAAATTCAGTCTGGCTATCTACTCTGATTTCAGAGCACTCTCGTCTTGAGTGTGACAGAGCGCAGAATAATTTATGAATTTATGAACGCTCAACACCAGATAAATATGGCCAGTGTCAGTAAACGTCGGCAAAAAAGCGTAGTTAAATTGTTGCCAGCGGCACAGTTACAGTCACCAACGCTCTGGATAACATGAAAACACCCTAACCAGCTCTGCTAGGGCGAGTAAAATGGTCAGAGTGAGATTTTTTCTCATTTGTGTCTGTAAGTAGCTAGCAAGCTAGCCAAAGTTAGCCAGTTAGCTTGGGTGCTTGACTGCTTGACTGGAGGGGATTGGTTGCACGTTTGAAAGAGGACCACCCTGGCCTAACATCATATCACTGCATCATCCATCAATCTGTTCTGTGTGCCAGCCTGGGAAAATAGTATTCTGAGGTCATGACAATGATGATGAAACTGATCAACTTTTTGAGAGCAACATCATCCCTACAACAGCCCCTGCTACGAGGCATTCTGACAGAGGCCAATGCCAGTTTTGATGACTTACTACTGCACAACAATGTCAGATGGCTCAGCAAAAGCAGGGTTTTGGAACGCGTTTGGGCCATTCAGGAGGAAATCAAAGCTTTCTTATCAGAGTAAAAGAGTGACAAGGCAACTCAGTTTTCTGAGTTTTTGGAAGATGAGGAGAAGATGGAAACAGTTGCATTTTTGACAGACATTACATCACACCTTAATCAACTGAATGTTAAGCTGCAGGGACGGGACAACACAGTGTGTGATATGATAACAGCAGTCCGGGCTTTCCAGAAGAAATTTGAGCTTTTCAAGAATGATCTCCAGGGAGAAATTGTCCACTTCTCCAATCTTCTGGTGCAATCGCAGGGAGACAAAGATGTTCCCAATGTTAGAAATTGCGTAATTCAAATCTGGTATTGGAATAAGAATCAAGAGATCTTCAATCCAAGCTTAATTTATTATATGCAAAATGTATGTATGATAAGTATGAAGGTTCGTATATACGGGTCCGCTGAGATACCACGCAGGGCACTCAGAGAACTAAACCATTGTTTACAGGTTATTTCTCAAATACTCTGACAGAGAGTTCCCACCTCTTCTGTTGGCCAATCAGAGTAAAGGACTGAGTGTGGTTTAGACTTTACTCAGCCAATCCGTTGGTGCACGGGTTAGTCCCACCCCTTGGTGCTCCACCGTTCCCAGGCATAAGTTGCTATCATAATAACCTGCGGAGTCAGCACCCAAAAGACACCCCTCCAATCTGTACTCCATGTACCCACGTTCAAGGACGGTTTCACAGACAACAAAGAGAGAGTGTTCGTATCTGTAAGAAATACAAGTCTTATCTGTCCTACCCCTAACGTTCCTTACATGAATCACAGCCTGTTATGTGAAACAATTTATATCAGTATAGTACAAATCTATGCTCCTCATTAATGCATTCCTTCTAAGTTATTCATCACATACAGATCCAATTATGAGAAAAATAGAACCCAACATCAACCATGTAGATATCATCCAGAAGCTGCTGGAGAACTTCAAGGCACGCTTTGATGACTTCACTGTTGGAAGAGAACTGCTGCTGCTCGTCCAGAACCCCTTCTTGGTCACAAATGTGACAAAGTTGTCAGAAGAAGCAAAACAGATCTTCAGATGGGTAGATATTGCATCACTGCAAATGGAGTTGATTGAGCTGCAACAAAATGTGTCTTTGAAGGAACAGGCTGGTGATTGTGACCCTGTCCCTCTCTGGGGAAAGATGGCGCCTGCAGCCGATGTCCCTGTTCTCAAGAGACTGCCACTATACACCCTGACCATGTTTGGCTCCACATACAGCTGTGAATCAGCCTTCTCCACAATGAACTTTATTTAAAAACAAATACGGCACCAGGCTCACCAATGAACACCTGCAACAGTGTCTCAGAGTTGCTCTCACACCGTTTGTGCCAAAGTTCAATGCATTGGCAGGAGACAAAAAATGTAATTTATCTAATTGATCCAATGGCAAGGCCCAGAGGGACTTATATATGAACATTGCATGGCCCACAGTGACGTTCTGTGCATTCAGATTATTATGTTTGTTCAACTCTCCTTTGTTCTCCAGAAAACATGCACTTTATTTTATATTTAAAAAAAAGTTAATTCAAGGCCCAAGTACAATGGTTCACAGTGCAACCACTTTTGTTCTTCAGCAATGTTGATGCAATGTTGCACATGTTTACATTCGAAAGTTGTAATTAATTCAAGTTCTTAGTCTCATTTAATGTACATTTTATATAACAACATGTTTCCTAAGTCGTAGAGGACTACGTTTGTTAATACGCTGTACCACAGCGCCGATAAAGGACAATATCCATCCGGACCTTTGCCACCTAGGAAATTTGTGACACTGGACCTTCTCAAATAGTACTGGAATACTCCTGTTATAGTCCATCAAAGATGGGCATTGGAACATTATGCCAGTCATACCAGTGGCTTGGCACCTAAAACCCTCACTAACGTTTACAGATGCACAATTGAGAGCATCCTTTCTGGCTGTATCACCGCCTGGTACAGCAACTGCACCGCCCACAACCGCAGGGCTCTCCAGAGGGTGGTGCGGTCTGCCCAACGCATTACTGGTTAGTTAGATATACCACGATAGGTATACTACGAAGCAAGCTTGATCTACTCAGGGTTTTCTAAAGCTAGCCAGCTTCAGCTAACTAGCAGGCTTGTAAATGCGAGTGCATGTCGCACGTGGATACTCGAACACAGAACTCTTCATTGAGGCAATGCTTAAACATCAATCCATCAGATTTGTGCCACATTTACATTTCAGAAATCAAAATGAAAGACAAGTTATCTTGCAAATTCAGCAGACTATTGTGTGAAGTAGACTTTTAGAAGTGCAGTCTTTTTTTTGGATAACTTTGGTGTGCTTTGGTGTGGTTATCAATGCACAAGCACCTTTCCCCCCCACTCCTAATGATAAAATAATTGTATTAAGTCATACAAAAGTTTCACTGTGCGTGAAGTTTCTAATCATTTTTTATTACTGAATGTGCAATGTGATAGGTATTTTAACATTACAATTTAACACACAAACACATTTGATTAATAAAATATTTTATCAGTTGTCTTCCTCAAATGAAGTGGATGATGATGCAATCTTTGCGAGAGGGAGGGAATCTGATTTCATTTGTCCTCAACACGCGGCTCAGACACTTCATTCAGGATAAATGTAGTTAGCCCTGAGTTAGCCTGCCTCGGAGCAGGTTAGATCTGAAGGATTCATTGCCATATAAATTTAGCTGGCTTAAAGGTGAGCTACTTTCGTGGGACCTGGTTATTCCAAGTTGAACTCATAGTTGACCAAAGTTACCTTGCTATTATAATGGCGCCGGAGAAGATGGCTGCCGTTTTACAGCCCTCTAACCAATTGTACTATTATGTGTGTTTTTTCGCGTTATTTGTAATTTATTCTGTACATAATGTTTCTGCCATCGTCTCTTATAACCAAAAAGAGCTTTTGGATATCAGGACAGCAATTACTCACCTTGTATTGGACGAAGATTTTTTCTTCAACGAGTCCGACGCGAAGGATATCCTACAGACACCCGACAAGGCCCAAATCCCCGTCATTCGCAGGAGAAAGAGAAGGAGATATCGTGGACGTAGGTCGGGGTGCCTTTTAACGATCCGACGGCGAGCGAGTAAACTGCCTCTTCCATCAATCCTATTAGCCAATGTTCAATCATTTGAAAATAAATTAGATGACCTAATATTATGGTTATCCTACCAACGGGACATTAAAAACTGTAATATCTTATGTTTCACCGAGTCGTGGCTGAACGACGACATGGACAACATACAGCTGACAGGATATACGCTACATCTGTAGGATTGAACGGCTGACTCCGGTAAGGCAAGGGGTGGCGGTCTGTGTATATTTGTAAACAACAGCTGGTGCACAAAATCAAATACTAAGGAAGTCTCAAGGTTTTGCTCGCCTGAGGTAGAGTATCTTATGATAAGCTGTAGACCACACTATTTACCAAGAGAGTTTTCATCTATATTTTTCATAGCTGTTTATTTACCACCACAATCCAATACTGGCATTAAGATTGCACTCAATGAGCTGTTTAAGGCCATAAGTAAACAGGAAAATGCTCATCCAGAGGCAGCGCTCCTAGTGGCCGGGGACTTTAATGCAGAGAAACTTTAATCCGTTCTACCTAATTTCTACCAGCATGTTAAATGTGCAACCAGAGGAAAAAAAAACTCTAGACCACCTTTACTCCACACACAGAGACGCATACAAAGCTCTCCCTCACCCTCCATTTGGCAAATCTGACCATAACTCTATCCTCCTGATTCCTGCTTATAAGCAAAAACTAAAGCAGGAAGCACCAGTGACTCGGTTAATAAAAAAGTGGTCAGATGACGCAGATGCTAAGCTACAGGACTGTT